ATATCATGCGGAATCTCGATTCGTCGCCGAAGGCCAATCAGCGAAAGGTAGCCAATGCTCAGCCATCCGATAGGAAACGGAGAGCTTCATCATCATCGGTCTCGAGTGTCTCTTCGGTCTCGTCCCTCGAGGACCTGAGCGACGAGGCAGATGATTCAGAAGAAGATGCAGACGATGAACAAGAACCAGCAGTCCGGGCCCCGTCTTATGGTCGTCGTCGCGACAATAAGGCGGGGCGCCAACCCGCAGTCAACAAGAGAAGACGCGTCCTGGACGATGATAGCAGCGACAGCAGTGATGGCAATGATGACATTGACGCCAATGACTCGGATGATAGCTCAGATGATGTCTATGCCGGTGTAGACTACATCACAGATGCCGAAGATGAAGACCAAGACGTCGAGAAGTTGGAAGAAATGATTATTGTGGAGTCTGAGAAAACCAACCGGCCTTTGCCCAGCTCTGGATTTGACGATGGTGGGTGGGCTATCAACTCGTTCGACGACCACATGTTCCTACCTGCTGCTTCATTCTTCGATGAAGAGCACCTCTACAGTGCCATGGACACCTTTGGAGAGCCTGAGGTGACCAGTGAAGCCGTTGAGACGCCAGTCACCCGGCGAGTTCACTTCGAGGAGCGATCCGATTCGTCCTCCGATAGTGATTCCCACAGTGACGACGATATACCCGGCGACTTCTTGCAGCAGGACAGCCTGGACCCACAATTGCGTCGTATGATCGAAAACGACAATGAAAACTACCAGAGAAATACCCGCCGGCAATCGGAAGAGATGTTTGGCGACGCCGATTATGGCCATGGAAGCATCTACCATGTCGAGTCCGACGGATCCTCCGAGGCCAGCTTGAGTGGTTACGAGAGTATGATAATCGGTCATTCGTATTGTGTTTTGCTTTTGCTAACCCCTTTGAAAAGGCGATGATGGTGACACTACAGACGAAGATCTCCCTCCGCCAGCAACCATCACCCACCCTCGATCCCTTCTCCGCCGGGACTCCTCTGACTCTTTGGCTCCTGTGGACGAGAAGAGTGAATGTATTCCCCGCCGCCGCGGGCCCATCATGGGAACCTTCGTAGCAGACCCCCACAAGCCAGTAGCCTTGGTCGATTGCACTGGCAAGCATCTCGTGATTATCCCCGCGTATGCCTCGTCTCGTCACGACTGGCTGGAATCCGCCGCCACCAGCATGCCCGGAACTGCGAACACTAGCCCTCGCCAGACTACACTTCACTTGGTTGATGAGAGCGACACCGATGCACTCGCCTCGCCCAATCAGATGGATTTCAGCCCAATGCTGGCTTCGAGTGCCAACCTCATGATGACCGCTCTCGGCAACGATCTCACCCCGGGAGGCCAGGTCATGGGTCCCCCTGAGGCATTCTACCCTTCTCAGGACTTCACCATCGACAGTTCGTTCGAAGAAGATGAAGAAGATGACCCCGAGTCTGCTCTCAACGTCGACGACTTCATCGACTTTGGTAATGGATCCTCCGATGAAGATGAGGACATGGATAAGCAATTTGATGACGATATCATGTCCCCAATGGCCCCTCCTTTCGGCAAGTCCATGGGTACACCTACTCCCACCCGCCAGTCTGCGTCGCAACCCGCCAATAGCGAAGAGCGCTTCCTCAATCATCTCGACAAGGGTATTGTTACTGCCTTCCGTCGCAACCATAACCGCTACCAGGCGCTCCTCCGCCTTCCCCAGCACCGCGAGTTCATGCCCGCAAACTCTCCCGCTCGTCCTGCCAGTGTCTTCCGGCACGCCAAGAACAACGACCAGCGAACTCCCACCCGCAAGCGCAAATCGAGCAGCATTGCAGGTGGTGAGGCTGTGCGACGCAAGCTGATGGATGCTCAGCAACGTCGCTCTCAGCTCCCCATCCCCGCGCCTCTCTGAGGTATCACGATTGCACGACTCTTGGATTTCCAAGGATCATATGATAACCACGGCCACAATTTATCCTACCTGTTTCTAGTCGCTTGGCAGACTCGACTATTAGTGTCTTGTGCCTTCACCCTCTTGACCTCGCGTTGAGCACACATGTTCTTCGCTCTGGTTGTATTGCATATTGCCACTGACGTGTCGTTGAGACCAGTCTACCTTTCTAATGATTGAGTTCGATTTGCCATGCATATTGAGTTGGCTTGCGAAAGATCGATGTTGGTTCTCAGAACCCAAAAGCGATCCATTTTGATATTTGATTATCTGACCAATCTTTCATTTCCTTTTTTTCATTTCATATGTCATATCTATTGACTGGCCATTTTTCTCCCCCGCCTGTTGCGGGGGCTGGTGATACCTTTGGAGTTAAAAACTTGTGGGTTTGCGCTCTAACGAGTTATGGCTGTTTGAGTTGCTGTTTACATTTATCTTTACCAATATCAAAAACATTCGAAATATTTATCACATTCTCTCGCTGGCCCTCATTAATCAATAGGTCTCCGTCCTCTCATGAAGCTCCGACCTTCATGATGTAGAACCCCCCACAACCCCGGACCCACCTAAACCTTATTCAAGCGATATCTACCAAGGTCCGCAAGTTTTATGAAACCCTACCTTGGGTTATGGATATAAACACTTGACGTGCGTGATATTACCAAAAATCCTTGATTTCGACCCCGACCACTACCTCGACATTACTGACACTGCCACGCCAACCCTCAGCTCTTGCAGCTCAAGCACCAGCCGTGATTCATGAGACTCATGTTCTCCGTAGCCTCAGCTACCATGCGCATACTTTCTTCCCGTTTGTGTTGACATTTCATTCCTTGCCCTGATTGATGTGCGGCCTCGGAGAGTGAAGAATTATAGCTTTTGTCGAAGTGTCCAATCGAAAGCGGAGTTTTTCACAATAAGTTTGTACAGCCAAACAATAGGTATGTCCAGGCAGGCGGACAGACAAATCCCCAGACGGGAATTTCTACAACCAGACCTCAGGAGCCCAGAAAGTTCTTCAGTGGATATAGGGGACCTCGGGAGTCCCGAGGGCTTGACTCATCATTGCTCACATCGGATCATTTCGTTGTGATTGGCTGATATCCTTCTGTGGGAACTTTCGGATCTATAAAAGACAGCACACTGTCAATCAATAATTGTGGCATGCTCGCACTAAACACAACCTCAACTTCTAATTCTACCTTCTTTTCTCCAATGGAACATCTTATTCCGTCCGGGATGCACGCTATCCCCGCTGGGCTTCTCGATCTACGTTCCGACGCCGATATAGACTTTGACCTGTTGCATCCCCAGCCGCTAACCAACGTCAAAAATATATGGTTCTTCTGGCACTCGGGCTACATCAACATGCACCCTTACACACAGCGCAATGTACGCGCATGGCACCGCCGATTCACAAAGCAAGGATGGACAATACGGATCGTTGACCGACAACCCGGTTCAAAAAGCAACATCGCCGAGTTCCTGGATGTTACCGATCCAACACTTTTCCCACGCGCCTTTGCCGACGAGACTCTCACTGGCCCTTACGCACTACAACATACTTCAGACCTTATTCGCTGGCCGTTGCTGTTGCGATATGGAGGTGTCTACGCGGACGTGGGTATGATGCAAATTGGAGATCTGGATACGCTCTGGCACAAGACAATCGCGAACCCCGATTCCCCGTATGAAGTTCTATCTTATACCCCCAGTGGCGAGGATCATTACAGTCTATGTAATTATTTCCTCGCCGCATTGCCCAACAATGCGCTTTTTGCGCGCTGCCATCGTCTACTCCTCGCTCTCTGGGCCGCGGATGGGGGCAAGACGAGCACGGATGGAATGTACGCTAGCCCGCTACTCCAAGGAGTTCCTCTCATGGGCGGCGAGTTTACGATCACTGAAGAGGATGGGACTTTCATTGGCCCCACCGAGGTCAGCCGCCTGTTGACCGACTATATCATTCAAGGTCAAGTGGCGAGTGCGGTAATGGGATTGGTTGATGCCGAAGATGACTGGAATGGCCCCGCATACTGCGTGGCACATTTCTATGCGATCGAGTTCATGGAAGGGTCGCAGCTCATCAACGAGTTGACTGCTTGGAACGGCCAGGAGGCGTTCGATCTGTTGTCGCTATCCATGCCAAAAGAGGGGGAACAAGAGTCTGGCGAGCAACAGAAGACTCGTGAGATTGTTGAGGCTTGTTTGTCGCGCAGCTATGGGTTCAAGCTGGCTCATGGCCTCATCTTGCGCGTCAACAAGGTCACTCTCGGCTCGCTGTGGCGGGATAATCCCGGGTCAGATATTGTGCCCGGAACATATGCCGGTTGGCTTCGGCATGGGATTGCCTACTGGAATCAAAATGATGTGCCGGGTTGCGTGAAACTGCCGTTGTTACCTCCAACCAAGGTCGGGAAGTTACTTGCATGATTAGTCGACGATGAAAACTTCATACTCTGTGCGCTGAGATATTGGAATAGATAAAACTCGAGATAGATGAGGACAATTCTCCGAAAATGAAAATCAAACGCTCCACAAACCTGCATCGCATCGAGAGTCCCGTCATTCTCGTGTTCGATGACGCTAATCGCGTTCACACAACAGGCGCTTTTGGCAACTGACGATTTTTTCGATATACCAAATTCCTCCCTGCTTGTTGCTAATTCGATTTTCTCGTTCAATTTCTCATGAAAAGTTCCCCAGTTAGCCTGTTATTTTAAAGTCGGGGAACTTAGAAGTGAAGTCACATTGTTGTTGTCTGTCGGAATATATTCCGAAATATATCTACGAATTGTACTCCTCAATGGCGTGATATATAAGCAGACATATCACTGGTAGAATATTTGGCCACGACAAGCAATTATTAGCTTTAGCTTAGCACCTGGTTCAAGCAATCTAGACGAGTTAACCGAAATTCTCGACTGAAGCTCCAATCAAAAATCAATATGTGGAGGATTCCAAGGCTTTAAAACAGGCCCTTGGTCATTCCTTGGTCTTTTTTGCAAGGCTCAATCACTCCAGGGCCGTCTTTCAAGATGGCTGACTTCCCATTACCGCAGACAAAAGCCGATACATCGAAAGAGCCGTCTGTCACCGAAGTTCAAGAAAGCGATGAACCCCATCGTGACATTTCTGGCGACATCATCGAGGATGGCCTACGTCGGGGGCTTAAGGGCCGTCAGTTTGTGATAATTGCCCTAGGGAGTATTATTGGACCGGGTTGCTTTTATGGCTTGGGCTATGGGATCTACGAAGCTGGTCCATTGGGTCTCCTGATTGGATTTTCTGTTGTGGGTGAGTTGGTAGCAATGCAAAGCATATTTTCTACAAAGTTGACATAGCCCAGGTGCTTCGATGTGGATTTTGATGCAGAGTGTCGGAGAGGTTGCCACGCTCTTTCCAGTTCACGGCGGGTTTGTAGAGGTAAGAACTATAATCTCAACCGTGCCGATATTGCTGACCTGTTTCATATAGCACTGTGATCGATTCGTAGATCCAGCCCTCAGCTTTGCAGTATCTTGGCTTTACTATTTTATGTGGAGTGTATTTCTTGCATCAGGTGGGTGTCGTCAACAAGCAAGAAATGGCCTGCACTAATCAACTTCAAAGATTGGAACAACGCCACAGTCTTCCTTCGATTCTGGATTCCTGATACCACGATCCCCGTCTGGGCTTGGTATATCTTATTCTTTGTCTTTTTCTCCATCCTAACCACCCTTGGCGTGAACTTCTACGGGGAGACTGAATACTACTTTGGCATGTTTAAGTTCCTGTCACTCATTGTGCTATTTTTCATCTCCATTCTTGCCGATACTGGTGCGTTTGGTAATGGGTATGTCGGATTCAGGTACTGGAAAGAGCCATACGGTGAGTATGCTCGCACACAAATTGGCTCGCAGGTCTGACATTCTGCCAGGTCCAATCCGAAATGGAATCAATGGATTTGGTCAAGTATTTGTTCTGGCCGCCGCATACTATGTTGGAACTGAGATTGTTTCTGTTGCCGCGGGAGAGTCCAAAAACCCTCAACGAGACGTTCCCCGTGTGCGTGCATCCCCTGAATCGGTGACATTTAAAGTGAATCTGATGCTGACTTTGTTTAGGCCACCAATTCTATCCTCTATCGTATCTTGGTCGTGTTTATTGGCATGTCTTTTTTCCAAGGCCTGATCTGTCCGTCAACATCGGATGATCTGGTGCATCCATCGTCCACAACGGCATCATCCCCGTTCACTATTGGTTTTGCACTTGCTGGGTGGAAGTCTTCCGGGCATTTCGTCAATGCGATTATTATAATTGCCTTCATTTCCGCTGCGAATGGAGTGATCTACATCCAATCACGCACACTTTACTCTCTCGCGTTGAAACGCAAAGCTCCCTCGTTCTTTGCAATCACAAACACTAGGGGGGGTAAGACAATGTCCTCTTCTATCCTCTCTCTGATAACAACTAATATTGTGTGCAGTGCCATACCCGGCAATTATTTTCTCAAATATGTGGGGCTTCCTAGGCCTGATGTCCTTGCAAACAACGGCAGGGAGTCTGTTTTCTTACTTCACCTCTTTCGGTGGTACTGCGGCCTACATCGCATGGGCTTCGATCACATTTGTTCATCTGAGAGTTCGTGGCGCCGCGAAGAGGAAAGGGATCGACGCCAAACAATTTCCCTATACAGCGCCGGGCCACATTTCGATCTACTGGGGTAACTTCTTCTTCAATATTTTCCTATTGCTGATCCAAGGTTTCACGGTATTTGAGACGCCGTTCAACTATTCGTTGTTTATCGCGTCGTATATTAGCATTCCGGTGTTTTTCCTCATGTTTTTTGGATATAAATGGTGGTTCAAGACTAAATGGTCAGTCGTTGCCTCATATCAAAGCAAGACTCGATACTTACATTCAACTTTTTTTAGGGTATCATTGGATGACATTAATTTCCCGGATAGGCTCAACTGGGTGATTGAAGATCCGGACAAGACAAAGAAAAGATCCTGGGGCAGAAGGCTCGTGAGAATTTTGAAGGAATAATAGGTCGATAAAGATAAAACAACCTTACAGTTGTTGATATTATGGTTTCCCAATCTTCAATCTCGCTACTATCTTAGTGTTGGATCTAAATTTAGGGAAGCCACAAACAACTCTAAAGAAGCTCTACTTCTAAACTCAAAATATATCTGTACGACATACTCTGACACGGCTTCGGTCCTGGAAGTAAACGCCACTTTTTCGTAGTGAAACCCGCTACTCAGTAGTCCGCAGACATTTACAATGTTGTTCCACCAACCGGATAATGAGCTGATAGTAAGAAGCTAGGGATCTATGGAACGACAAGTAGAGTTGAATATAACTGCAAATAGTACCGAGTCGTCGGTTTTTCGGTTTTCTTGCCCCTGATTAAACGCGGAGTACTCCGTACTGAGTACGGAGTAGCTAGACATAAATAGGATGTCCAGATAAGCCTTGACATTGAACGCACACTGCAACTGCATGGGCACGAAATCACTAAAAATGCAACCCGGGCGCACATGGTCGCCGAATTTGCAAAGTAACCCCGAGGTTAATATATCAATGTTAAGACCTAGACTTGACGTCTAGACTCCGACGATTCCGAGGGAGGCACAGCGTAGCATTCTCCATGCGGCGCTAAAAGTCTCATTCGTGGGTATTTTTAGTTGGCCGTTTCATGTTACCCGGACTTAAGCCAGACAAAGGCATCGTCCGACGCGCCGAGAAACGGGGACGATTTGCATTTCTGTTTCCATTTCAAGAAATTTAAAGAGAAAATAGAAGGCTAATGCGGTAGGGCATGGTTGAAAGAAATACGGAATATCGACACCTATACCCCTCAAAGCCGAGGTACACAATACAATGCCTATTCCTTGCGGAGTCTAGTTCGTTCAAGAAGGAGTACTCCGTAGAGGCTAAGTTAAACCTATCTTGAATACTATGTATTCGGATTTAGATCGGATAATACGAATGGTATCGGTTACATCCAGCCCAGAAGTGAAACGCTTGGAAACAGGAACAGGAACCCCTCGGTTTAGACAACGCCACTAGTATATTCTGACAGGTTTGGCGCTGGGACTTTTTAGTCGGATCCACATAAACCGAGAAGCGAAAGGTGAGACGGAGCGTTCGGGTACCTGGCCGTTCGACCTTCCAGGGGTTTACCCCTGGGAACCGAGATAGAAAAGAAAAGAAAAGTCGATCCGGTAAGACACGAGCAGTACCTGACCCCAGTAATACTCCACATGCATAGACATCCTCTGATTTGTGGACCCTGGCGCTTCGAGATGCAAAGAGCTTGTATACAGAAGATCATGAAGATCAATAATAAGCAAATATGTGGGCAGTCACGCAGAAAGTGGGTGCATGGGCGAGACGCTAAGGTCTTTCTTTTTCTTATCTCGCTTTATTTTTGAATTAAATCTTTAACCTCAACTAGTCGAAAGTAGTGAGTTTCAGTCAAAGAGCCTTGGGGAGATGAAAGCCTCCAAGTGCACGTGGACTGTTTACCCTGAAGACCCCCTGTCAACGCTCGGCCTATGCAAGTTCTCCCTGCCGATCAAGCGCCTATTCAGAACCTATTTTTACTCCGTCATGCTTATTGGTCAATTAATGTCGACTGATCTCACAGGCACATATGGATGAACTGATGCTGAGTGGGATCGGACCCCCCCGGCAAGCGCCCTGACTGGCTCTTCTCCAGCTTCTGCACGTCTATACCAATCGGCGCCAAGCTCTGGATGGATCCCAGGCTCACCCTCCTTTCAGCCACTACAGTTTCATCTGTGCCTCCACGATTCCTGCCGATTGGAGAGATGGGGTTTTTTTCAGACAAAATGTCTTACCAGGGTCCTTGGCGCCAGACTTCGGGTCAACAGAGGAAGGCTCGCTAGCTGCAGCCAGACCCTTTGCCTGCAGAAGTTTATGGAATGGCCTGGTTGGACAATTGTTTAAAGACCGTGACCCTGCCCAGATCCTTGACTTCTTTCATTCTCGTCATTGTTTCATTTTCTTTTGGATTTTTATCCATATTGGTTCGTCTCCAACCAAAGACGCTCGTTCAGGGATACGCATTTCCTTGTCTTTCTTTCGTTTGATATTGACCCAATCTCATTGAGGTTTTTTTTCTTATTGTCACCCATCAACAATACTAATAGGAATTGCCTGGTTTGCTGCCTATACAATTGTGGCTTATATCACGATATCTATTGAGACCTAGCTTTCTATATCGCAGCCTATCCAGTCCACATCAGTCCATCTTTGTTTCTTTCATACGTCTTCTCTCTTCTTTTTTCCTTCCATTCGATCTTTCACGTCCCACTTTCACTCGTTACGGATATCCTCCCACTATGAAGGTCACATCCGCTATTGCGTTTTTATCCCTTCTGGCCTCTGGCCAGGCCACCGGAGCGGTATGCCTCAACTGATATTTGTCGTCTTTGATATCCATCCTAACTCGAAATCCTTTAGTCCTGGGGCTCCGAGAAATGCTACTCTAGCCCGGGTAGATCGCCTAACAAGTGTAACGACTCCCAGCAAAAGGGCTTCAGCTGGACTGATCTCGCTCCTGGCTCTTTCTCCAGCTATGGTGGCTTTTCCTTTTCGGGTTTCACTTGCGGCAATGGCTTCGGTTCTAGCCTTGGCAAGCGTGGCGTGAGTAATGCATGCCTCTCTTTATCTGCACATACTGACGATGCTATAGACCCAGAAATGTATCTCCGGTACCGTCTCCAAAGGTAGCTCCTCTAGCTCCTCCAGCTCCAGTGGCTCCAGTGGCTCCAGCTCCCACAGCTCCAGTGGCTCCGGCTCCTCTAGCTCTTCTAGCTCCTCTTCGTCGGCTCCGTCGTTCTCCTGTGGCTCAGATGAGAGCGGCTTCTCTGTGACCAACTTCCACGTTGCTACCGATAAGGATACCGACTTGCACATCATCTACAGCATGCCCGATGGGTCGACTTGCAAGAACACCGCTTCCTGCAACTCCGCTGGTACCGTGGTCAGCAACGACCAGTGTGGTGGTGCTACGTCCGTTCACTTCGAGCTGCCCGACGATAGTGAGCATGAGAGCTGCGGTTTGGGCATCTACAGCGTTGGCTTCGACTGCACTCCTGGTTCCACAACCACTGCGCCTGTCGTTTCCAGTACTTCTGCTATTACCAGAGTTCCATCTGAACAGACTTCTGTCTCCAGTTCTATCGTCGTGCCTTCGCTCTCTGTCCCAGGCTCTGTCCCAGGCTCTGTCCCAGGCTCTGCTGTCACCAGCTCTACCGCTGTGCCTTCGCTCTCTGTCCCAGGCTCTACCCCAGGCTCTGCTGTGTCTCCAGTCACCACTCCGGCAGTGAGCACACCTGTTCAGATGACTACCTCGACTGTGTTCACCACTAGTTTGATCACTATCACTAGCTGTGCTCCGACTGTCACCAATTGCCCAGCTGGATCTACCGTTGTGGTAACTTCAACTATCGCTCTTTCCACCACGGTCTGCCCCGTTACTGAGACTACTGCTACCGCTACAAGCTCGCTCTCTGTGCCTGCTGTATCTAGCCCGAGCGGCGTTTCCCCCGTCAGCTCATCGGCTGGTATTCCTGGCGTTGCTAGTGGCACATCCGTTCCTGCATCTTCGATCTTGCCTTCTTCTGCTATTTCCTCTACTGCAGGCGAGACCCCTGATGTAACTTCCGCCACTTCGACCCCGGTGATCACCACTCCAGTCCAGATGACTACGTCGACCGTGTATACCACCAGTTTGGTCACTATCACTAGCTGTGCCCCGACTGTTACCAATTGCCCAGCAGACTCGACTACAGTGGTGACTTCGACGATCCCTATTTCAACCACTGTCTGTCCCGTCACCGAGACTACCACAGGTGCCGTCAGCTCCACACCTCTGTCTGCAGTCCCAAGCCCGAGCGGTGTTTCCCCTGTCAGCTCATCGGCTGGTATTCCTGGTGTTCCCAGTGGCACATCCGTCCCTGCATCTTCGATTCCGGCTTCTTCTATTTCATCCGCTCCGGGCGAGACCCCTGTTGGAACTTCAGCCGCTTCAACCCCGGTGATCACCACTCCGGTCCAGATGACTACCTTAACCGTGTATACCACCAGTTTGGTCACTATCACTAGCTGTGCTCCGACTGTTACCAACTGCCCAGCACACTCGACTACAGTGGTGACTTCGACAATCCCTATTTCAACCACTGTCCGTCCCGTCACCGAGACTACCACAGCTGAAGCCGGCTCCACACCTCTGTCTGCAGTCCCAACAGGGGTCTCGCCCGTGAGCTCCTCGGCTGGATCACCTCCCGCCAGTGGAACTTCGGCCGGAACCCCCTCGGCTCCCAGCGTGACCTCCGCTGTCTCGCCCCCTGCTGGTACTCCCCTCGCCCCAGGAGAGGCCACCACTACTGTGGTTACTTGGGAGACTGTGACTACTTGCCCGGTGACTAACACGGTTACCTCTGGTAGCTCCACTTTCGTGACTACCTCAAGCACCATTTCAACCGTTACTATGACTAGTGTCTCTACGATCTGCACCGACTGCTCCGCTACCGCCACCTCCGTTGCTGGTCAGAGCACTGTTTCCCCGTCTGGTACCCCCGGTGTCTCGATCATTGTCGTTTCCAGCACTGGTTCATCTGATACACCTGGAGCTTCGAGCCTGGTCCCATCTGGAACTTCCGAGGGATCAAGTCCTGTCTCTTCTTCGTCTGTAGAGGCCTCCAGTCCCCTCCCCACCGGCTCCGATGTCACTAGCTTGGTTCCCACCGGCGTGAGCGCTGAGACGACACCTGCTATTCCCCAAGGATCGACTGCCACGGTTGTAACTTATGTAACTGAGACCACCTGTCCTGTGACTGCCACTGTCACTTCTGGGTCGTCGACTTTTGTCACCACATCCAGCACGGTTTCAACTGTTACCTTGACCTCGACTTCCAACCTCCCCAGCTCTGTCGCTGCGGGAAGCACCCCGGCTCCCTCTGAGACAGGTGTCGCTGCCACCACTGCTCCCGCTGTCACCAGTGCCAACTCCACACCCACCATTCCCGAGGGTGCCACTACCACCGTTGTGACTTACGTGACCGAGACCACCTGCCCCGTGACCAACACCGTCACCTCGGGCTCCTCCACCTTCGTGACCACATCCAGCACAGTTTCCACAGTGACCCTCACCTCCGTCGCAACCATCGCGACTACCGCCACCGCTGCCACCGAGACTCAATCTACCTCCGTAGTCCCCAGCGGCGTGTCCCCGGTATCGAGCCCCGCTCCCTCCGCTCCCTGCCCCAACACCGTGCCCCAGTGCATCAACACCTGGCTCTCGCTCGCGCCCAAGTGCACATCCAACAGCGACGCCTCCTGCTTCTGCCCCAACAGCGAGTTCACCAGCAAAGTAATCTCCTGCATCCAAGCCTGGGGTGCCTCGAAGTCCGAGATCCAATCCGCCCTCTCCTACTTCACCGGTATCTGCGCCACCTGGGTCCCCCAGAACCCAGGCATCGTGACCGCCATCCCGTCAACAATCACCCTGATCCCGACAGTTGCGCCGTCCGCACCCGCATCCGCAGCCAGCGTCACCGGCGCCACTGTGACCGCCCCCGCCAGCGCCGTCATCCCCATCACCTCCGCCCCCGCCCTCCCCGTCACAACAATCACCTACTCGACCTACACCGTCACCGTCCCGCAGGTCAGCTTCGTCACAAACACCGGCTCCGCCGCCGGCGCCGTGCCAACCATCGGTCTCGTCCCGGCTGCTCCCAGCGGCACTTCCCCGGCAAACACCGGTGTTGTTCCTGCCCCCGCATCCGCGACATGGGCCACTTCGAGCGGGTACGCGTACGCCAGTCGCAGCGCCAGTGGAGTCGTCTCGCCCAGCGCGTCTCCGATCTTCAACGCGGCTTCGAGCGTGTCGGTCGCTTCCAGTCTGCTGTTGGCTTCTCTCGCTGCTTTCTTCGGCTTGATGATGTAGATGCGTTTTGACAGCAGACTACCACACCGCGAGAACCTCGTGGTTTTACTTTCCTTGTCTCTTGTGACTACAAATATGCACAGTACACAGTGTTTTGTGTTTTTCCTTCGTCCTTATTTGTCTTCCCGGCTCTGTAGTGGTTCGGCCTGCTTCGGGTGGACAGGACTTTAGCTGGGAATTGACTTAGATCATCTGTCCTAATGGACTGCTTTGTATTCTATTTATTCGCTCCCTAATTGAACGCGATAAACATCGCCTTTTTCTGAAAGATGTCCTATTTATTTATCTGCTCTAAGCAAGTAGTTTTCTGAAAATCTCTGTTCCACTATGGAAAGTATGGCTACCTGGTTTGTCTTGATGTGTTCAACAGGCTCAATCCAGGCGTGAACTCAACAGGTTGAGTATTTCATTCTTTCGTTCTTGGTCATATCCCTTCCTTTGTCTTGTTAAATAAATCCTCAGGCGATGTTAATAAATATATTTAGCGTACCCAGATATGAAGAGATTTCTGTAAACAGGAACAAATGACGGCCGCGTGCCGTTTCGAAGAATAGAGTGTCCTCAAAGAATAAAAAATAGACCTCCCGAAGGCACTCGAGTGTCATGTTCGGTGCAAGGATTAGCGGAGCAACCCCTCAGGACTTTCAAGCCACTCCAGGTAATCCCGAATCCCTTCTTTGATGCTACGGAAACGCAGCACGGAGCCGGCCCGACGGAGCTTCGAGATATCGGCGCAGGCGTAGCTCGGGAATCTGCCTTTCAATTCGGCTGGGAAGGGAATGAACTTGATGTAGCCCTCCGGGTTGCCGAAGTTGCTGGCGACCTCGTTGGCGACATCGTGGAAGCTGCTGGCCACACCAGTGCCGACATTGTAAATACCACTGATCTCGGGGTGGTCAAGGAACCAACAGTTCAGGCGCGCGACGTCCTGTACGTGGACAAAATCGCGCTTCTGTTGGCCAGCCTCGACCCCGGCGTATTCTCCGAACAGCTCAATTGCCTTGAAAGATTTGCGTTTTTCGTAAAACTGAAAGACAGTGCTGGGGATTGAAGATTGGTACTGTTCTCCGGGTCCGTAGACACTGAAGAGACGGAGCCCCGCGACTTGTGGGGAGCGGATGTCAGTGTTCTTGACGACGTACTGATCGAATAACATCTTTGAGTATCCGTATACATTTAGGGGGGCTTCCTGGAAGTCTCCCTCGGCGAAGGTGGTGTTATTTCCATAAACGGCAGCGGACGAGGCGTAGATGAAGCGGACACCCTGGTCCTTGCACCAATGGAAGAGTTCCTTGGAGTAGGTGAAGTTTGCTTCAAGCATTTTCTTACCGTTGCTACCGTTATTTGACGAGTTTGCACCATAGTGGAAAATAACGCGGGGACGACGATGGAAGGTTTTGGTCCGAATCGCTTCACGGAAGGCAGTCGCATCGATGTAGTCGGCCACTTTGCAGTTGACCAGGTTGCGGAACTTGGATCCATCAGTCATGTCATCGACAACCACGATATTGGTCACGCCACGGCTATTCAGCTCCTTGATGATGTTTGAACCGACAAAGCCGGCACCACCGGTGACAACAATCATGATGGGAGATGACTTGGATTTCAGTGATTGCTTAGAAGATGAGAATTGTGGGAGGAGAGAACAGAGAAGGAGGGGAAAGTTCAGTTGAGAGTGATGGGGGAGATGTCCATGGCGAAATGGGAAGGAGCGATCAGGTGTTTGCCAAAGAAAGAAGGTACGACATTCTGCTTTGATGTTCTCTCGTTGCAGACAGCTAGTTCTCATTCATAGAGACTAAAGCTATATGAGAGTAATAAAAAGAGTAGATTCAAGCATTTACCTAGTGTCCTACCTTCTTTAGTTCAAGTTATCAAGTCATAGAGTCCCTTAATATGTACCATTCTGTGGCATTGAGTTGTCCAGATAGCTCAAGGCTTCTGTTTGACATCAATAAACGTAAGACCAAAAGATTAAAGCATTCTGAGTGCACTTAGTGTCCTTACAGGATATTCACATGTCTGGATGCTCGTAGGTTGCACTTTCCTAATTGGGTTCTCCTTTTAAGACACGATTCTGCCAACAACACTACTCACCGCCTTCATGCAAGTCACAAGTAACAACGCGCTGGAGGGAGGTGTCTATCAACAACTACTCCGTACTTATGTCACATATTCTATTTCTAACGCCGAAATTAGACCTTAAGTACAATCACGGTGTCCTCCGAAATGGCTCTAGGATACCTCTCAATCTCATCAATCTCATCCGGGACCGCCCGCCAATCTGACAGAGTCCTAGCTCACTTCGACACGCAAGCATTCTCGGCTCTTCAGACCTCAACTGTATTTGCAAAAATAATGGGGCTACCCATCCTATTCAGGAACGTGTTTCAGTCTCCACGGCATGTCCACTATCTTCGGTGATCGGCTCAAGTCCTGAATCGACCCGTCGTTCATCAGACTCCCCCTCGTGCAGTTATCCGCGCTAGCCTACGCTGATTACATCCTCGTCCAGAATACCCCGGTCCATGTTGATCCAATCCTTCCCGGCAGTCTGGGTCAGGGCGACGTACAAAATGAGATTGTGGGGCGCCAAACGGCCGGGGCTGCCGGGCTCGTGCTGACTTCGGTTCCTGACGGCAAGTTGAAGATGGCTATCTACGCTTGTGAATGGCATTATTATCGAACGCCACCAATTTCCAGGCTGATTCCGTGCAGGAGGTTCTGACTGAAAGAAACATATGATGTAATCCTCGCGATAGGTGTATCAATGGATCACATTCGAGCTCTCCGCAATGATCGCTCGGATACATAGGGGGGATACATCCGGGGTGCATATTATGGATCAGGTTCCCCTGAACAGTGACAATTATTGAATCTCTCCTTGCGAAGCCGCAGTTGCCCCCCGTAATAGATCTATACCAGCGCATATGACAGTTGCCATGCGATGATCGCTTATCTTATGGTAACCTTGGAACCGCGCAAAGATAAGCCTGGGGCCCTAGATTGGCTGAGCGACGGCTTTACATGGAACAAGTTACATAGTGCATTGGATTGTCTTTAATAATTTGGTCTTTGCATTGAAAAGTCAACTCTAAAACAGACACCATTTGATGCCCCGGGGCTATTGATCGGACATTGCCCATCTCCTTGCAAGATAAGCCCTCCACCAGTAGCCGTCCTTTATTCCGGACACCTTTCTACGGTTGAGGTGGAAACATGTTCTTTGACAGCCGCTTTGTCCAGAGTGACATGGTCCGTTATATTAACAGGGCCTCCCCGTTATGTTGATCGGCAAACGCTTTCTGCAGGGCCAGTATGTCTCAGAATGAAACTTCACTATGGTGGCCCGAGGAGCGCATCAAATCCACCCTCGACAAAAAGTACATCATCAGTCGTCTGCGGCCGGAGAACATCCCACGTCTCTTTGAGCTCCCGGACTGGGGCGAGGGCTTGACCAGCGAGACCTACATGGAATGGATCCTCACCAAAGCCGGCCGTGTTTTTATGATCCTCGACGCTATCGGCATTCCCGATCGCATCTTCGCGCTCGTCGACGAGTCGTGCGACGACGATGATCTACCCATCGCCGAGCATAGTGTCGATTTACTACACCTCTCTCCGGATGGAGACGATGTCGCCTTAGAGACTAGTTTCTTTCATGCACAGTGGCGATTCCTGGTCCGTGGTATAGCGGAGGGAGAACATGTCGTCTATACCGAGAATGAGGGCGTGCCCGTCGAGGCGGTCCGCACCAACACCAGCAGCGGGATACACGGGCGTGATGATACGGTCGACAGAGTAGTTCTCGCCGGCTCTGTCTGTCGAGTCTACATGCGCACCCAAGTGCAGGTCGGCGGCGCACCGCATTTCTTCTCCTCTGACGAGGTTCTCGCGGAGATCCGCAGCTTGAAAAGACTGTCACACGAGCATCTCGTCTCCGTCTACGCTTCATATCTGAAAGACGACAGCGTCTCTGTCCTTTTCACCGGCGCCACGGCAGATCGGAGCCTACACCGATTCCTCACCGACGAGCCCCTGGCCTTCAAACGGCTAGAGAAAGAACAACGTCGCCAGATCTTAATCACCTGGCCACATTGCCTTGCCTCGGCAGTCTGCTGGCTGCACGCACGCGGCTACGCCCACGGCGCAATCCGCCCATCCAACATCTTCGTCGACGCAGACTACCACATCTGCCTCGGCCAGTTCCAAGCCCTCGACTCCCTCCTGACCCCGCCACATGTCAACGACCTCGAGGCATACAACTACTCTGCCCCCGAGCGCTGGACTCGTCCCACAGGCCCGGTGATCCTAAAGCCAGTACAGCCTGCCAAAACCCTCCTTCCCTCAGGAGGACGTACCAAGCGCAGACAAAGGCCAACCCGCCTAACGCTCCCCCCACTGAACGAAAGCCGCGCCGCGTCTCCAAACCACACAAGACCAAACTCCTCCTCCTCAAAAGGAACAGCCATCCGCATCGGCCGCCCAGGCTCCCCCTCCCGCTTCTCCTTCGCCTTCTCCTCCTCCTCCTCATCCTCCGAAGCCTCCTCAGCAGCGTCCTCAACCCACACAGACGCAACCGCCACCTCACCGCAAGCAACCCCCCGCCACCGCATCTCATCCTTCTGGGCGCGCCGAACAAAGAACACCCCCTCAATAATGTCCACCTCAACCTCCTCCTCCTCCAACACCTCATCCCTAACATCCCCAACCTCCCTCCGCCACTCCACATCCACGCCATCCCTCCCACATTCCCACAACCACACCCACCCCCCAAACCCCAACTCCCCAGCCGACATCTTCTCCCTAGCAGCAACAACCCTCGACATCCTAACAATCCTACACAAACGCACCCTCGCCTCCTTCAGCGCCCACCGCAGCGCCCGCAACCGCTCCGCGGGCCGCGGCGGCGGAATAGCAGACGCCTCGTTCCACCTCGAGCGCAACGCCGTGCAGATCCAGTCGTGGATTTCGCGGCTGGAGGGCGACGCGCTGAAACGCTGTCGGCGGGATCGACGCTCCGATCGCGCGTTCTGGGCTGTGCCGCGGATGTTGCTGGTTGTGCGCGCTATGCTTGATCTTGAGGGTGCGAGGAGGCCGTTGGCGGGGAGAGTTCGGAAGGGGTTTGCGGATGCGATTACGAAGAAGGGGGGTGGGAATGGTGATGGGTTGTTGGTTTTGCATTGTGTTAAGGAGAAACGGGAGGAGGGGGGTCATAGGGAGACTCATAGGGACGAGAGTCATAAAGAGGGGAATAATAATCGGAAGTTGGAGGTTGTTCGGGAAGTGGGGGAGAGTGCTTCTGTTGTGTCTTCGGCTCCGGTGGAGTCGGGATCTGTTTCGGTTGCGGAATCGGGTTCGGAATTTGATTTCGGGTTTGGTCATGCTGGGAGTGAGAGTGAGAGTGAAAGTAATTTTGAGGGAGATTTTGTTGATTTTGATACGAAGGAAGATGTTTCTGCCATGCCTGAGCTATATCTGCCAGAGTTGGATATGAACATTACTGGGATAGAAGGTATGTCGTTTAAAGATTAGATGGAGATGTATGATAATGTCTTGATGGTCAATGACCGGTTCTTATTCACTAATAATTTATTTCTTGTGTACACTTCATGCTTCGTGAAAGACAGACTTGAGTTAACATAACCTGTATGCAACACAGCACGACTCGGATATGCAGTCGTCGTCTATCCCAAATATGTGATGCTATCAATACAATGGCTTGGCCACAATCGTCAAAGGTCGGGAAGAACAAATCAAAGCCAGAAAGCAACGGCTCCCAGCAGACCAGACAGCACCAAGGATCCAGCGAGCAAGCGCTCAGTAACTGGCGAGCCGACAGTCACAGAGTGAGCAGCGCCTTCCTTTGTTGCCGATGCAGAGGATGTTCCGCTTGAAGTGGTCTCACTGGCCTTGGTAGTCTTACCGGTCGCTGTGGATTCAGATGAAGATCCCTTCTTGTAGGTCTGTCCCAAGGTAGGAAGCGGCGAGCTTGGGTCAACGGCCCATCCACCCGAGGTCGAGGCAGGGCACTCGATGGCGGCGCTGGATGCGCTCTTTTTGTAGGCGGAAAGGGCAACACCGCTCGGGTTCAGAGTAGCCCACTGCGACTTGAGGTTGTTGAAATCAGGCGACACGGGTGTCGGGGTTCCCTGGCGGGTGAAGCCGTCCTCGATGTTGCTTGCGGTTGCGGTCGCCGGGTCGACAGAAGCGCCATAGCTGATCAAGCCATAGTCGTTGGTCTCCTCGATCCACTCGTAGATGATGGATCCGGACCAGGTGTCAGACATCTTATCGCCGAAGATGGCAGCCTGATCCTCAAAGGTGCGGGGTGAGGGGGTGTTGCAGCCGGTCTCGGAGAAGAAGATAGGGATGGGGTAATCGGTGGCGTTCTTCTGCAGAATATTGTATCCAGACTGTTCATAGCTGGACGAGCCACACCACTCATAGGCGTTCAGCGAGTAAAAGTCCAAGCGCTCGGACGCATTCTTAGAACAGGCCATGTAGTTCTGCAGCATGGGTCGCAGATCGGCAATATCGGCCGCGGAGTAACCAACAGGAATCTCGCGATAGCCCTTCTTATCACGGTAGGCCTTAACGTCGCGAGCAGCTGCCAAGACGTAGGGCGCAGCAGCCGAACCATCGGCCGTGGTGAGGACCTCATTTCCGACCAAGACACCGGCGGTGTTGTCGAACTGTTGGAATTCATCGAGCACGGCCTTGAAGTGATCAAACTGGGTTTCATTCCAGTGAGGTGCGGTCTGCGATCGTTAGCAGATGGTCCACATGAGAATGAGAAAGTAGAGTTACCTGTTCAATCTGGGTAGTAAAGGTGTCCAAGTCGACGAACAAGTGGATTCCTACAACGCATCAGTATGATTTACCGGGGATTGCTCATGTGGACTCGACCTACCAGCATCGGCCAATGCCGACATACAGCCTTTGTGATCAGCGTTGGCATCCACGTGGTACACACGGATAGCATTGGTGCCCAGCTCGGCCATCCGGACGATATCGCGTTTGCATTGGGCAGTATCGACAAGCGGGTCACTTGGGGTAAGCTGATAAGCAATGCCTGTTTGAGTCAGTCAGGCAGGATACCTACAGTGCAGGGTTCCTAAGTACCCTTGATGTAGAACTGGGTTCCGTTCTCGTAGAAGAACTTGGAGCCGACCGCTGAAATGGGGGAGATGGCGCCGACTGCGGTGGCTTGTAGGCCGGCGAGTAGCAATGGCACGGAAAATGCCAGGGAGGACAACATGATTAATTCTGTTCGAGTAACAGTGCAAGATGCGATAAAATAGCAATGGCTAAAGAGTGAAGAGAAGAGAAGGAAAGGCTTTCAGCTCAAATTGACACTACCAACAACGAAGGAACAAGGCAGGTGCAAACGGGAAAAGCGCTCCTCCAACAATTTGAAGGAAAGTCGAGGTGAAACATAAAAGGAGGCAGTTCCTTGATTTGGGACTGTAGCAACGAAATTATCACATTAATTTCAACTAGCGTGCTTCATTCCAGGCCCCGTTCTGGGCATTCCAATTAATTTGTTTTACGAGCTTGAGGGTGTACAATGTGATATAAACGTTGGCACGAAGTACGAAAGGTGTACAAATGAAGTACAAGTGCCATGTTGTGATTGTTCGAGGGTATGTTGTATAGCTGTTGGGGCCGAGCCCTAATTCCCACGCAGTTGGAGATATCTGGAGTAGCTAACTAATATGGAGTAAATCTAGGCGGAGTCCTCCGTGCTCCGTACTTGATATAGATACTTATTGGTAGAGATATGCAGTCTCCAGTAAATATCGAAAGGATTTAAAATTAAGAGTCTCCTAATGTTGCCCCTAACCCGGAATCTACCGAGTTCCACATATACATAGTGACTCTCCCCTATACTATATATAAACACGATATTGAGGTTTGAGACATGTTATGATAACTATTTACGGACCATCATTATCATCACTATCACTGTGCTCCATCCTCGGTACCACCATGTTGGACAGGTATCCCCATCGTAAACCCTGTCAATCACTGCTATTTTGGACTTGGCCCTTATATCCACTCTTGCTAGCATAGGAAAGATAGTCCTAGTCCTGCCTTGAAAACTTGCCTCATCGATCGACATTATTGCATTTATTTATTTGTTATATTCTTTGGCATTGGGCAGAGATCGGGCTAGAAATCAGGGATGATAAGTCTCGTGGACCCCTAATGCATGTAACTTTGAATATCACTAGTCACAACGCCAACGCGATCCTGGAAGTCTTTTTAAATTCCAGACTGCCACGTTACCCCACTGGGCGGTTTTTAGCGGTGACTCGGGCTAGAACGCGGTCATGGCGAGATAAGGAGATTCTTTTCGCTATTGACGATAGAGGTGTAACGAAAGAATGCATTCGTCAATATCGATGTAATCATGTAATAGCCATGTGAGGGACGTTACGTCTCCCGATCTATAGGAGTATACGGAGTCAACATCCCTAACAGCTTGTTGTATGTGCGACCGGCCAGACTCTCCAATCTCCACTCCTCCACTTCATTCCGAGATGTCCACCAATGATCATCGTCGTACGCACAGTGTTCGTCAGCTAGTGGAGTCTTCCATTGGGATCGTCTGGGCTTTCATTTGGACTCCCCAAAAACGGGACAGTTGGCTAATGACGTTTCCGCAAAGGGGGGGGACCATATAATATCCAGGCCCGCATCCGGTCGTGGCCCTGAATTATTTTCTCTGATGGAACTACTTTAACTCAGCCTTGGCCTGTACCTGTCTTTTATCAATTCCCGATATGATTCTATAATATATCATATCCAATCATCTAGAACCATATTCCCCGATATTCGGAGTACCCATCCACAATGGCCTCCCCCTTCCACATCTCTCGACACGAGCAAGTCGAGCTAGAGCGCAATGAAGCCTTCCGAGTAATGCGCGAACAGCTCCGCCGCCAAGAATGCGGCATGGAGCGACCGAGTTTCTGCGCCGGCCATCGCCACTCCTGCACCGCCGCCGAACAGGAAACCTTCCGCCTCCACCGCGATATCATCCACACCCTCCTCGTCCCCCTCTTCCTAATCAACCACCAAGCCGAGCGCATCGCCGCCCGCACCCTCCCCAGCCAGAAAGGCGCCGAGCCCGAACGCGCATTCCGCGGCGAAGCCCGCAGCGCCTTCGCTTGGCTGAACTGCATCCTCACCGAGGAACACGACTGGTACCTCACAGCCCGCTGTCCGGCGTGCATCGTCCAGCACGTGCTGCACTCGGAGCCGACGATCCGCTTCGTCACCGTCGCCTCGCAGCTCGCGGGCACGCGTTCCGGCTTCCAGTGCTGGCTGAACGCCCTCGAGACCGCCGTCTGCGAAGACCCCTTCTGGGGCGATGCCTTCTGGCCGGATATCGAGGAGCGCGCGTCCCGTCTGACGGATGGCGTGCAGCAGCTCGTCCGGCAGTGCTACGAGCTCAGCGCGACCCTCGATAACCCGGCGAGGGTGAACCCGTCGCTGGGCAAGACCCCCATGCCTATCTACGGCAGTCGCTCCACAATCCCCCTGAAGCCGTCTAGTTTCGCGCGGAAACAGGTCCGGCTGACGCGCGAGGAGCAGAGATACCGCGCTTCGCTGCGGAATTGCTCGCAGGAGATGAGACAGCCGCTGGCCGGCTGCACTACTGCGACCCAGTCTCGGCGCCGGTCACTGACTTCATGAGGAGCTCTGTTGGGCTATGGTGACTGCTGCCATATGCATTTTTTCTCTTACTCTCAGCCGGGTTATTTTAGACCGGGGCTGTTTTCCAGATTGACCTTTTGCCGGTTGAACCATTCGGGGTTCTAGAAAGGATCTACGAGATCTTGGCAATCTACGTACAGAGAGCCTATCGGCTATCGGAAATTGGCATCCGAGAATTTCCCCAATCTCTCACACATGGCACTCCCCAGTGTTGCACGCGACCGAGACCAGATTCTCGATATGCAAGGGTCTGCGCGGATCTGGAGTCCGCTGTGGTGATGCAATCGGGACCCGAACCGTGGATAATCGAAGTAACCATCGCCTCGGGGCGATGGAGATATTCCATGGAATACGTCGGTGATCGGTCTCTATGGCCGGGATGATATGATTTGTTGATCATGTCGAGTGAATATAGTGATATGATAATCTAATATTAATCGTCTTATTTCAAGAGCTTATATTATATGCAAGTAATATCGGCTGACGTGTCCTTCTATATATTAAACCCAAAATGTGCCGTCCCAACCACGGATGTCAAATTCTTAAATTGCGAATTCATACCCAGATATGGATGGACATATCAAATTAATAGTGGCAACACTCTAGGTGAGACAGTGGAGTCCGCCGGAGATGGGAACAGGGAAGTGAACCAGATCGAGGCGCACGGTGGAAATTATAAAACGGTCCCAACGTCCAGATCGGACTGGGCTGGATCTGAATCTGAATCTGAATGTATGGGGTTGCCTGTCATGGTGCCACCCCGAATCGAATTCAGGGTCTTCAAAATGCGAACTTGCTGCGAACTAGCGTATATAGAAGCTAGACCTAGACCTATATATATACTTAGGCTTAAATATATATAGCCTTTTATGTATGTGATATGCGTTGGCAAATGAGTGCCGATGCCCAACTCACCGGAAGCGGAATATCGTATGCGTACACTGGCAAAGTCCTCAGTACCTCATCCAGGCCCAGGCTCCACATGCGTTCTATGGTACTGGCGACTTGTGAAACCCAAGGCTTAAACCGCATTAGGGAAGAGATATGTTGAAGCAAGAGAGCCGCTCGAGTCTGGCTCGGGTAATGAGCAATTCATTTGCAGTGTCATCTGGAGTATCAAGTATATTCGGATCCTTTCATTTTCAGGTATTCTGGCCTCGACTTGCACCACCTGAAAATGATCGTCAGCCCCGTGGAGCCAAGACGAAAGCCTAGACTGGCGATATTTTATACTTGTCCTCAACGCTGCATACTCGCTATTGGTCGTTGTATTTTTTTTATAATTTACGTCTATTAGATTAAGGGTATTGAATAGTATCTATATAAATTCAATATCCCTTACAGCAAAAAAAAAACGAACGTAAAAAAGGTGGAAACTGATGACTCCATGACTTGGACGGTCTAGACTGTCCCGACCTGAAGAGTCTGGCCCCAGCCCTTGCCCCAGTCTGTACCCGGTACTTGGTCTAGTGCCTGTTCGCCCATACTATTCTCGTGTACCCGGTACCCACTTTTCCCTTCCCGTCCATTTCCATTCGATTCACGCCCTCTTTTGCTTCTTCTTCTTCTTCTTCTTCTTCTTCTTCTTCTCTTTTATCCCTTCTTTTCCTAACAAGACTCAATCATTTCCCCTCCCTCCTCTCATTAACGTCGATCTCTTCAGTGCCTCAACTTCCAACTTCCACTCCCACCCCCGGACCCGGCCATCATCTTTTGGTCATCCTTCGATCATCCGACGCATGATTCATGACCGCTGCCATCTTCGCCCGGATAACAAAGACTGGATGACACCCTCATGCAATGGACAGTACTGGCCCGGCACTCCCACTCTTGACGATCACACCATGCATGTCCCACCAACAGTGAAACTCGATACCAGAGCACACCTCCCCCAGAACTCAGATATACAGGAAACTTTCAACCCCGGGAGGATCCGTCGACGAGCTTCACAGGGGTCTCTTCGAACAAGACCGTCACCGGTCTCCCGCTTTCTCTCCAAGAGTAGCGTGGCCGTGAACTTCCCATCGTGGGATCAACGGTCCTCGCCTAGTTCACCAGGTTCGCCGTACCGTTTGGATTCTCGCACTCGGTCGGTCGACTCTCGTCTTCGTCTTTCAACCACCGTGTCTCGCGGGCCGAGGCCTTTGGCTCCGTCGCCGTCTTGGAACGCGCATTATCAGGAATACCCCGCTATATTACCCCCCACGCCGCCAGAAGAGGATATCCACGTTGCGTGGAATCCCAAGTCCGAGATGATGTTGTTTGACGCGCACTCCCACCATCCGAGGTCTATGGCTATGATGGATGATAACCAGAGCGTGGACAATTCCTCCGCGACCGGTGCTTCGGACACATTCAGCAGCCCGTCAGATGGGAGATCCTCCAGCTCTGGAGGCAGCCCTGGACCCCACGATGATATGGACTGCCAGCAGGACATTGGTTCATGGCTGGATCATGGAATCAACTTGACTGGTAAGATTCCACACATTCGTGCTGCAAGGAAAATCACTGACTTTTTCAGCTTCATCACTTGCCCTTTGTAAGACAGGCGGCGAGGCCGTCAAAATCGTTTCCCAGACTCTTCCATACCCTAGGACATCTGATCAGGCAGCGTCAGTACCGAAAACCGACAGTGTTTTTACCTCTATGGTCCAGGCTGTTCACAACCACTTGCAACCTGGCCAATCACCCTATATCAACGTCACCCACGCAGTACCCGAGCAATTCAGCCTTTCGAATCTGCCTCACTCTCCTCCTAGCACTCCTCGTTCTCCGACTGCCGCCGAGGAATACTTCAACGCCACGGTTTTCTCCAGTGCAGCAGTTGTGGGTGCTTACCATGATTACAGTGGACCACTCCAACGGCAAATGTCCCACGCCCCGATGCCTATTGTTCCCCCTCGCAGCGTTCACATCTCAGTCCTCGAGCGCTATCTCCCCCCAACCTCTGCCCAAGAGTACCGTGATTTGTTTTGTCGGACTCGTCCATCTTTCCTCGTTGATCGTCTGAGTGAGCTATCACCGAATGGCGGCTCCCTCCTCTTCGTGTACCCGACCAAGAAAGGTGCATCAACCTTCAAGTCCCAATACTTGGGCCCCATCCTCGACCCCCTTCTCCGCCAGCTCGTGGTGGTGAATGAGTTGTCCGCAGACGTGAGCCGCTACCTCGGCAAGCTTTCATCCGTCTCCCAAATGGACGACTTCGCCACCATGAAGGCGAACATCGTGGCGCTCTGTGAATCATTGAGCGATAACGATTCATCTTCCCGGTTTCACGTGACCGATGCAGGCCGCGGAGACACCCACCTCGACCGCAATCTCTGGGCCGAATGGTTCATCCATCAGGAAAAGCCCCGCATGAAGGAACTCCTCAATCTGTACTGGCAAAACGGCCGCCGTGCATCTAAGAGGACAAGCTCTGGATGCTCCATGATGGGCAACAAAGAAGTAACGCCTTCCGGGCTCCTAAGTGAAATCTGCGACGGCATCCGCAAACGACGCTATAACGAGGACAACGAGCCTCGTGATGGTATCGAGCTTGGTGTCTTTGTGATTCGTCGAACGAATTAGATCGCAGCATTGCTAGATCGCTTTTCCTCCTTTTTCCTCGACTCCTATTTCGAATCCCCACCTTCGAATCCTCACCCCTTTCATTTCCACCACCCCTTCTTCCCCAATAGCATATTTTAACACACGGCCTTGACAAAAGATGACATGGGACCCATGGAGGTGTCCCCGGTGTTGGATTTCGATTTTCCGGTGCGAAGTAATTCTTTCGCACCTTGCATTACTCGTTTGGGGGTTCCATTTCCCCGCGTGAACATTTTGAATGAACTATGAATACCCCGGTGTTGGCGATTCGGGTCTTATGAACGTTTTGGACCTTTTTTTTTTCTTGTCTTGATGATGGATATAAATATACACGATTTAGTGGGAATATATCTGCTATTAACAACATTCTTTTCTTCTGTAATCTAGGATATCACTGGAATATATATGTTGTACTCCGTATCTGCAGGGATCATGCTTATGGTTTCGTTAGGCTCCCATTAGGCATCACCGAGATTACATGGTAACTATAGCTCATCTCATAACTTGGTCTATGGCTTTCATTGCGGACAACTACCATTTGTGCCGACGGCGCCGGATCCGGCGCCCCCCTCGATCGGGTTTGGCGTCCGCCCTCATCGGCCCCCGTTCCGGTTTAGCGTGGCCAGATGCAGTTTGGCGCCGCGCTATCCCTAAAATGGCACTAGTCCCCATCACTTCCTCATCCGGTTAGACACATCCTGAACGGGTTTGGCGGCTGCCGCTTTCCCCGAATCGGTTATTGCTAGCCCCACAATTAGAGTCGCCATTGTAGTCCTGCCGGAGGTATGGCGATATGTTCAATGAAGATATAAAAGCCACCGAAGACAAAATGCTCTTAGGGGCACTGGACTAGAGGAAGCGGCATGGGAACCCAGTCCCTATTTATATCTTGACAGAATCCAAAAGGGGGCTCCTGACCTACGAACTAGGCTCAAAATGCGGCTCTGTCCACTGCCACACATACTGATGGGCCTATCAGCTGGAAACAAACCCTAGACGGGCTATCCTCCTAGGTAAATTGCTTAGCCAAGGCAATGAATAGGAGTGCAGGGAGATTCGTAGTGCAATTAATACCCGTATGATAATGAACAATGATATCTCTAGTATCGACGATAACTGCCTCCTATGGGTCATATAGGGGCCCGTGAAGCCCTCTGAGAATACTTTAGCTGATCTGGTTCGAAAGTGTCTGTCTATAGGACACTAAATTGCGATCACTTGTATAATATGTGATTACGAATCGATATTCCGAAGTTTGAAGCCCCCCTATACCAAATCCTTATATATGGCTGGCGAAGTGAAAATCCATTCTACCTATAATACCTTGAGGAAATCATGAAGGAGCACGATATAACCCCCCCGGACTTTCACAACTTCAAGGACTTTAATCGCACTGTACTAGGCTTACAGACTAATCTAGAGCCTAGAGATTCTTTCACTGATCATACTATCAGCTACTATGACATGGAGATCGTATATAGGCAATATCCCTGTGGAAATGAACACGAAGAAACTCCAGGTACATATAGAGGCGGGCTAGCGAATGCGGGAAGGGTGGAGAGATACATATAGCTCTTAACTGAAACTGCACAGAAGTTAAAAGATAAACTTAAGGTACTTTACCCAGGTGCGGATACTGGTCTTTTGTATGGCGATGATAAACTTTATTCCAAGCTTTCACACTGTATACAGCCCATGGATTGGTAGTATGCAGGTTTCGATATGTCGAATACAGTCAGTCCCTTTGATTTTCGAGTATTATCTGCCGGATATTCGCTAGCTTAGTTACCGATAGCAATATTAGAAGGTAGCACCGAAATTAATATCCAAGGTACAATAGCCGTGGTCAATTGCGAGGAACATCAATAGGAACATATCAGAACAAACAACAATAGAAAATGGGAAAATGGATAATATATACCAATCCATTGTATTTACCTATTATATTTCCAATTACTTCTCTTAAATTACGAAATCCCTTTCCTCTCCTTATCTCCTACCTCACTGTCTATTCTCCGGGGCGGCCAAACATTCTGCCGTTCAATTCAACCGTGATCCACCCCTCCCATCTCATCTTCCTTCACCAACTTAATGCAATCTACCACTCTTTCTCGCCCACCTTCGCCACATACAATGTCTTACCCGAACCCTCCGCCCCTCAGCCCTGGCGGCGGGGCTGGCGGCGCACCCTCAAAACGCGACAAGCGACGCACAGCGCTCCAGGAGCGGCTCCAGGAATTGACGAGTCAGTTCAGCAATAACCGGGACATCCAGTTTCGCCAGCAGTTGCACGCCCTCCAGTGTGACATGACTCTGATCAACAATGCTGATCCTTACGTGACGGGACCGCTCCCGGACTCAGCGGAGAGCATTGCTTCGCTCATTGAGGAGACGATTGGTGGCGGCAGCAAGTTTGCGAAAGAGATGGCTGGCCTCGCTGGAACCTGGTATTCCAGGTTTGTGCAGGATGTTAATGAGATCAAGGAGAGGAGGGATGCAGAATTGGTTAAGGCCATGGTGAGTTGCTTATTTTTCTCATCTATAAGGAGTTTTCGCTAATCAGTACTTTTCTTTTTCTTATACAGAATAACTACAACAACACCATGGAACGACAACAGCGGGACCGTGATTTCCGTACTTACTTCGCTCAAGAAGAATTCCGTCATCTGTCTGCTACCCTTCGAGAGCGATTGGTGCAGAATATCTCCGGAAAGCGCGCCCGTCTGATGCGTGAAAAGGAGCAGCTCGACATTGCCGACACGAATGCCCTCCTCCTCCACCCCAACCAGTTCAGCATCACGAACCCTGCCAGCCCTGGTGGTATCCACGGCAACCGCAAGACCACTCGGCACACCCGTCACCGCGTTGACCTCGACGAGTTGGGCAACGGTTTCATGTCGGAGTTGCACAAGCGCAAGCGGAAGGCTCCGGACGAGGACAATGGGTCGCCTGCGCTGGACGCAGGCGATGCTACCCCCGCGAAGCGCAACAAGACCGAGGCCGCAAAGGAGCAGGTGGCACCCGCCTACTCGATTCACTCGCTTTTCACCGACAAGGAACTCAACGCACACGCAAACCAGGCACACCTGGCGGCTGTCCATTTCTTCTCTACATCCAAGCGCCCAGATCACGGAACCGGCGCGGTGACGAATGGCAACAATACCGACGCCGATGAGACCCCCGAGGGCACAGGCCACGAAGATAACGGCACCCCAAGTGCGGCGGATATGATGCGCACGGCTAGTCACAATTTCCATGCTACCCGATCTACCCGCACAACCGCCGCGCACAGTGCTCTGAGCGCCCTGGCTGACCTGGCCGATAAGCCCGCCACCCGCCCGATCCTCCCCTACCACGTCCTCTCCAATCACCACGCGCGACCCAACGGCAACGCGCCCCCATTGACTGCCCTGATGAACGAGGAAGTCGACGACGACTGCGCTCGCATCAGCCGCCTCGCTGCCAAGCCATCCAATTGGATCGACACATCTCTAGTCGAACTCGTGGCGGCACCTCTTCCAACCGCAGAGGAGGTCGATGGTCACCCGTCAGATCCTGCCATCTTCAGCCAGCTGCACCCGGATTTCGCACCCCCAATGGGTGTCGACTGGACTCCTACCGTCTACAACCCGGGCTACGAGATGTTCCAGCCTGCAGCCATGGAACGCGAGCGCAGTCGCAAGCGTACCCGCAATCACTGAGGGATACGCGCATGAAATTTCGGATGTACGTTAAGATGGGATGGATGGTGTTTACCGCAGGTCGCGGTTATGGATTACCCTTTATTGATCATATTAGCTATGCTGTGAGGGATGGACCTCGGAGGTGTTTGGGATTTGATATTTTTCTTTTTCTGTGACTATTTTCTTTTTCTCTTTTTCGGACTGATGTTCGCCACGCCGGGCGTTGGGGAACACACATAGCACTTCGTTTCTAGGTTTCTTGCCCCTATGTTGGGCAGTACAATTTACACGGATACCTTGTTTTTCAAGTCTGTAACTTGGTTTTAGGCGGTTGTCAATCTATATCATAGTCTCGGCCATTCGCGAGGAGGATGTATGCAGCTTATCCCCGGTGTTTCTTCCCCAGATGGCAATTGTGTCGATGACAGGCTTGGGGACAACCCTTTAGGGCTATATTGCCTTCAACCACCTCGGATTCCCTCCATCAAACTAACCTTCAATACCTTCAACTCCGAGTCTCTCCCAAGATATACTGTCCAGGAGTCGAATATTAGGTTCAACTGGGGCATGGACTGGCTGATGTTCTATACTGATATCGACTTAGGGCTAGTATCCACCTCATCATCATGACAAAAACGGAACTCATCACCGACTATTCTAACTATTCTATCAAGCAGATTCTCCAAATATTTCCAAAACTACAGCAAAACAACATCCCAAGCACCAAACCACCCTTCTATCTTATCTTCATGATCCGGCGCGCCCTCGCCATCCACACCCCCATCACAAAACCAATGACAACACGACGAGCAAAAGCCGAAACCGCCAATCCCCTCATAAGCGGCAACATAAGACCAACCTTCCAAGCCTTCAGCCAAGACGCCGCAGCCCCAAACTTCCACAGCCGCATCCTCCCCGCCATAAAACACGACCACCTCGAACTCGAAGCCCACAGCCGCAAACTTCTCACCTCAACAGACCCAGACGAGCAAACCCGCTTCCAAAACCAATTCACCTGGGAGCTAGCCCGCCACCTCGTCGGCGAGGAACTCGTCGTCTACCCGGCGCTGATCGACTCCCTCCCAGACGGCCAAGGCGTCGTCGATAAAAACAGACTCGAGCATCATGGCGTCAAGCACCAGCTGAAAGCGTTCCAGGATATTTCGTCTACGGACCCGCGCTTCGTGCCGACGCTGCAGGGGCTTATGCGCGATTTCGGTATTCATGCGAGACATGAGGAGGATGTGGACCTGCCTAGGCTTGAGGAGTTGCTGAGTAAAGAGGAGAGTGTTGGGTTGACGAAGTCGCTGGATCGGGTTAAGATGTTTGTTCCGTCGAGGGCGCATCCGATGGCGCCTACGGAGCCGTTCTTTGAGAGTGCTGCTGCGCTTTTGGCGGCGCCGGTGGATTTGTTGGCGGATTTGTTTAGGAAGTGGCCTGATGGGAAGGAGAAGAACTCGTAGATTTGTATTGTTGGGGCATTGTGAGAGTATGTCTAGGGAATTCTGATATATTGGATACTGATACTGATATTGATATGATATGAAATTAGACTTAGATATGCCAGTCCATTCTATCCATTCAGCTACTAATTAGAATACTCCAAACTGAACGAACAATACAAATTAACCTCTATCTTTTCAACCCTACACTTAGAAACCATATCGTCATTAAATCATCCCTCCACAGCCAAAACTGTCGATCCCGTCGCGCCCAACCGTTGCCCTGAATAACTATAACGCTGCAAGCGACGTAACCTCCCCACTCGATTCGCAGTCTCGATCGCAGACTGCTGCACCTCATCATCACCTGACGAAGATCGCCGCCGTTTCCACGCCTTACGGAACTGGTGCTGTTCATCGTCCTGCTGTCTGTGCCGCATAGACAGGAACCCATTATGGGCCTCCTTTTCTTCGCTGAGGGCCTGGACCTGAACCGACAAAAATTAGTTCATAGTTCGTTATCTCTCCTGCCGGGACTCAAACTCAGAAATGTGATATCGAACTCGATTGCATGGAACAATACAATAGTAATGTAGAAAAAAAAAAGAAAAAGAAAGCAAAAATAGTCGCCAACATACATAGGTCAACCACACCTCCTGCTCGGAACTCCACGCCTTCTGACACCTCCCCAGCTGTCTCTTCGCATGCACAAGCTCCCTCTCCTGCTCGGCCGTCCACCGGTCCCGACTGCGGATAATACTCGCCCAACTAACGGCGCGATCAAGCTGGGCGCGCGTCGGACGCGCCTGGCTGGAATAGTGCACCCGGCACTCGGAAGCCGGGCCCGACGCCGGTCCCGGGATATTGTCCGGCGTGGATGATAGTGATTGGGGGGTGGGTGTGTGGTGGTGTGCGTGAGTCTTCACCGCTACCTGCACGGGGCCGTGGACGTCACGGTACATGAAGACGGTTCCATTGTTCTGGTCTTCGGCGTGGGGACTGATGTCGGAGTCTGAGGAGCCGGGATTCTTTTCGCTGAGATGGATTTCCAGCTCGGGGGATTTGCCTTTCAGACTTGTTCGGCGCTTCCAGGGGAGTGGCAGCGGTGGTAGGGCTCGATAGACGATTGTGAAGACTGACATGGTTGGGATCTCGACACACATAGACTATATGTATGGGAAAGGAATAGATGAGATGAGCGACGTATAGAGTTACGTTACTTGATATTCGTCTCTGGGAACGGTCTGCTGCCCATATTCGCTGCTACCAACCCTTGCTTTTATAAATGTTCCGGTGTCGCCTCCCATGTGGTACTTCGCGATCTAGCCAGACCGACTCTCAAGGACGAGAACCCGTGCAGGGACACCTCGCAGGAACCTCGCACAGAGGTGGGGACTGCGAGGCTCTCCGGCTTCTGCTTGGCTGCCCACGCGAGAAGTATACGATCGTGCAGGAAGCGCGGGTTGGCGTGGTTGGTCTAGATGGCGGAGGACTGCAGGGTTGGTCGGGACTTCAATGTAGATTGTGTTTGCTTCTGGGACGGTTTGACAGTTTGAGGGTTTGGTTGTACAGTTGTTTCATTAGGATGAGACAAAAGTGGGTTTGGATTGACGCTGACGTTGACTAGCGGATACAATGAGCTGGACTTAGCTCAACTCATGCGATTAATGTGTATATCCCTACTCTGTCAGATACTCGGGGAAATAAGGGATCTCGATGCAGCAGGCCTCCATAGTTGGCTGGATACATATGCTACAGATGCAATATACACATGGTGTTCGCAGTTGAAGTCAAGGATCCCCTTGCGGGATTTGGTACTTTCGCACTTGGTCAAACTTGGAAGTATACAGTCCCACATTCATGTCCAACTGACAAGGCTAGAGAATAGAGAAAGACGCCTAAAGTAATTACGGGCACAATAAACCCTCCAAAACAGCCCAATGCTGCACACAAGCCTAACCAATAACCGTGAGGGAATCATAATCAAAACAAGAACAGACGTATTCAAAACAAAACCATGACGCCAAATGCTCATCGGATATCCAAAAAACGTACATGAGAGAAAAAGAAGTGGGCAAAAGAAATATACATTCATCGCCATGTATCCACAGAAGCACCCCGGTTGGCCTTGGCCTTCCTTTCCTCTCGGATCTGTTCGCCAATAATGATGCTAATGAGTCTCCGATGCAGATCGGCTTCTGTCCAATCGATCTGTCCGCTGCCACCATATTGGATATCAGCCCGAGCAAGCTCCTGAGCAAAGCGATCGATAATGGCAAATTGGATCTCTGTGATGGGCACCCCGTGATGACCATCGGAGGTCCATATCCAATCACCGATGATGGCAGCCCGCCCCGGAGAATCGTGATATTCAAAGTGCTCGGGGTATCGCTTGGCGATTCGGTAGATACGACAAAGCGCGGCGTAATGCTCATCGGAAAAGTATCCGAAGACAGCAAGTGGTCGTGGCCCTGGAGATGCCCCATTCTGGTGGTTCACTGGCTCTACATCTTCGTTCTCCAATGGATCTTGCGAGACACCCCGCCCAGATACCGGCTGCTCTTCTTCTCGGAGGTCCCGAGAAACACTTCTCTCATGCATCGGAACCTCCTCCTCTTCCACTGTAGGATGAGGATCTTGCTGTATCCGGGGAGACTGGGATGGTGATGACTGTCTCCAATTGCTCGCGGGTGATTGGCTCGTTTGCTTTGAGAGCGGCTCATCCTGGAGATGTCCCTCAAGCTCCTTCGCAGATTCAATGCTGGCCATTTCCTCTTCATCTTCGAATTCAGATGCTTCCTCCGGAATAGTACTAACACTTGAGCTTCGGCCACGGGTCGGGGCTTTCAGCCATTGCGGGGTGAAACTGGTTATTTTACTGAACCAGGATGATCCTGGCTCCTCTTTATTGAGCTGAGGAGGTTGTGGGGTGGAGGCAGAATCCACGTTGGCAGATTCCGATTGACCGAGAGCAGCTTTGGAAATGCTGCTGTTGTCATAGTCTTCTTCCAACGGTTCTTGTATAGGCGGGCTTTGTATAGGCTTCGGAGATTTCTTCCCATCAAGTAACGCGATTTGTGGACTGTGGATCCGTGGGTTGGGAGTATCCGGGCTGGACTGGGAGAGAGGTTGTAAACGAATGCGCGCTGGAGTGCGCGATACCGGGTCCTTCATGACAAAATTATTGATTGGTGAATTCTGTGTCCCTGATGGGCGGGCGAGTAAACGAGGCGTACTCGTTCCATTGTAATACCGTGCGCGGTTTGGTGTATCCTCTTCTGCAAGCAAAGCAGACAAATCGACCTTTTGCTCACGGAGCTCGCGAACCTTGGACGGTCCGAAGCGCGCTACATGATTATGCTCTGAAGTAGCGTAAGGGGATGAACTCAGGTAGTCTTTACCTGCGGAAATCGGGGCAATATTGCCTAAAGGACGTGCAAGCGGGTTCGGATGAGACCGAACATCATCATCCTCGACGTGTTGTGAGACATGGCTGTGATCATTCGCTTCGAGTTGCCAAATGTCGTCATAACCATCATCCTCATCTTCCAAGGGCTCGGGCTCGGGCTCGGGTTCAAGGTCTTGGGGCACATATGGCGCTGGTTCTGACGCTGGTTCTGGCACAGGTGCAGATGCAAAATCATTGTGCTCTTCATCAAACTCATTTCCGTTGTCATATTCAAATCGTTGTTCATATTCAGGTTCGATGCCCCGATCCTCTTCCGCCGCATTATCATCGCTATCAATATAAACGACGGATTGTGACTTTGCAGCCGTCTGAGCCTGGCGGCTGACTGCTTCTCGCTCAAGCTGCCATTGAGCCTCCCGCTGTGCCTTCTGGTGGGACACCGGGCTTTGCTGAATGAAGTTGTTGAGACTGGAACGTGAAGGTTGGATGTACCGTTCCTGCTTCTTGATCTCGTCTTCAAAGGGTCGATCCTGATCCTGCTCTTCCGATTCTTCGTCATCGAAGCCATTATATTCACGTTCTTCCTGTTCTTCCTGTTCTCCTTGTTCTTCCTCGAGACGTTCCTCCCCAAGACGAGCAGCCGCATGATCTGCTGCTATAGCCGCAGCCTTATCTTCCTCAGCGAGCATCCGGCGCATAGCAAGCTCCTGTCCTAGCCCCATAGCAGCTCGGAGTTCTCGCTGCGTTTCAGCGTTGAATGTGCTGAAAACACCCTCCAACCGACGTCTTTTGTGACGGGCATTACTCTTACCAGACCACTCGTCTTGTTGAGGCTTAAAGGGACCTTGTAGGGCCAAACTAAGTCGAACAAGTTTAGCCAAACTGTGGAGTGTTCTCTTCTTTGGAACAATTGTTGATTTGGCAGGTGATGATGCGGCAGGGAGCTCAGGATAGGCGATCTCATTCACGTAGTTAACAGATTGACGCTCGGTCGCATGTGCAGTGTACTTCTCCGGAATTTGGGTGCTTGGATTTTCGTGTAGCCCAGAATCTAGGCCCGTAGTGACTGGACTGGATGCCTTCTGAACACGAGAATCACCTTGAAGGTCTTGGATCGTCCCGGGAAGTCTGCGTCTCAACCGTTCTCCGACTTCCTTTGGTTTGGGACCGCTGTTCGTCGTAGCGCTGGAGCCGAATCCGTGCTGCTTGGCTGACGGGAGCGTATCAAGGGAAATCATAGTGAATCCTTCACTTTCCATGATAGTGTCGAATTCGTCGTACTCGTCCGCGGGATCTTCAACGGGATCAGTTTCAGCATGGTCGGTCTCCGTCCTTGTGAAATGATCAGAGTCAGCTTGTCGGGTTTGATTTTCTTCATCGGCCAGCGAAGATGTGGGGGTCGGAGTAGGATATGTGCGCGATTGTGGGCTAGCGGTGTTGGTATTGCGAGAAGCTCTCGATGACAACATAGCTCTCTCGCGTGTCGGTGATGGCATTTTAGAAGGCGTAGAGTGGATATTCTCATCATCCAGAAAGTGATGTTCCGTAGCTCCGATAACAGGTGTCTCCAAACTCGTTCGGCCGTACTCACGGCGAGTATTGTCGAGATTGGGTTCTGTTGGATGAGGAAGCTCTGCATTTGATATCTCCGAGTTCCCCCAAGAGTCGTCATCGGATTCGACATCCCCTACGAGATTCAAGGGACTGGCGTTTGCATTACTCCCAGCAAAAGAATCCGTCGGACTGAACCGTTGTTGGCTTCGGCTAGCGTCACTAGTGAGGGCATCCGTGGGGCTGAATCCTCGGTGGCCCAGACTAGCATCACTAGCTATTGTATCCATCGGACTGTATTCATGCTGGCCTAAGCCAGTTTCATTGGTCGTGGTGTCCATTGGACTGAATTGCTGGTTGTGACGGGCATCACTATTTGGAACGATATCCATCGGACTAAAGTTGTGGTCATATTCGATAGTCGGCGTTGCTTGGTCACCCAGCAACTGGAAATCCTGTGATTTGGGCCTGGGCGTGCCCCGTGGTCGACCTCTTTTGCGTGGTTGAGAGTCACCGGCTTGTGGTCCAGGAGTATGCCCCGGCCCAGGTGTATTCCCCGGCCCAGGTGTATTCCCCGGCCAAGGTGTATGTCCAGGGCGAGGGGTACGCGCAGCAAACGGGGACAAACTAATGTCAGACTTTCGAGGACGCCCTCGCCTCTTGTACTGCGTTTTCTCCTTCAATGGACTCCTCTCATCCTTTAATGGTATCATCGTTGTTATGGTCGAGGGCTTTAATCGTTTGCGCGACGGGCTACCCCGGTTCTCGTCATCTTCGTCTTGTGTCGCTTCCAGCGTGAGTCGGATGCGCCATGGGCTGACATTTCCTTCCTGAAGCTTCTCCGGAGAGAGTGACCTCTGTCGACCGCCATTAAACTTCATTGCTGGCGACCCGGGGAGTATGACATCTTTGAATTGAATCGAATGCGCGCTTTTTGCGGGACTGAGGCTACCGCGCGGTCGCGGTCGCTTGGCCGGAGTCCGTGATTTCGCTACCATAGGAGACATCCAGCTTTGGCGCCCTGCGAATGGTTTGATCGGTGATGAGATCAAGTACTGGGCATCGCCCGGAGGACCTAGGATATCGGGGGAGGAGCTCTGGCTGCGCGACGAGGCCGACATGGCGGACTCATGCGATGGAATCTCGGAAGGCACGCGTGCCACCAAAGGGGTGGAAGAGCGCACGCTAAGGAATGCAACAATGAAAAAGTGCAGTCGTCTCGTAACTATTCACGGGCCTACTTTATGATACATAAATAAGAGAGAAAACGCGGGGCAAGCCATAAACAAGTCTCCCGATGCGGTACGAAAGGGCGGTCCTCGAGGTGGTTAGGTAAGCATCTCCCTAAACAACAGTTCTATTATTGGACACGATCTTCTCTCTTCCCCCTTTGTGTCTTGAAACATAAGTGGAGATGTGACAATAGGAAATATTTCCTCGGCTTGCCATCAACTCAATTCTTTACGGAGTACAAATCGGCATCATCCACACTGGGCATTTAATTCAATGTCACACCGCAAGCTTCAACGACCAGATGCATTTGCACATCTTCCTTGGAGATTCCCAACTACCTTGTTCCTCTGATATGCCAGTAGGACATTCGCCGCACGTCTTGGCCCATGACAACCGGCAAGACTACCATTTGTGTATTCACGTCGTCCAAAACCCGGCGGTCGGACAAGACCAACCCATAGGTGATATCAGCCAACCAAAAGCCAAAGTCTCGATGATATTTAAATAACCTGTATAGGGTACTGGTATTGTACGCATATATTAATGTTGATCAACTCATACCGCGCACATTATTTGCATTGTCACACTGCCAGCCTTCTCGGGTGAAGGAGCATTCCCCATCTTCATCGGACATGAATTTGGTGATGCTGAGGAGTAAGTCTCGGGAACCCGAAAGAGCCATTTCCTTGGCGCTGCGTGCATGAATCGAATCAGCTTCCAGCGTGCAGAGGTGGTCGAATAAGTGTTGGCGTATCAGGTACATGTATAGCTGGCTACAGAAATGTGATTCTGCCGTCATCGTAATCGCTACTAAGTTGTCAGATACCACTTTTCACTGGCGATATTCGAGACTTCGAATTTGGCTCAAATTGTGGCAAAGAGCTGAAGCCAACGCGACTCTATAGTTGATTTGTCGACATTGGATGTATTCATAGTTTGGGTCCAACAAAGTCTATCGCGTATCTTGTCTTAAATTGAATAGTTGTTTGAGATATGAGAGTATAGAAATAATTATAAACTCTGAGGCGATGAAGTGGGCCCCGGGGAGTTGCCGCGGTAGTCTTTTCATATGTCTTTTCAGCTGTCTTTTCTTCCCTCTCATTTTTATAGCTAGAAGATTCAAATGTATGAACTTTTTACCATGCTTTTATTGAGCGCGCCCGGGCTCATTATATTCACGGAGCTATAACTTCCTAATTAGGCTTAGTAGTAGATGCTTTCCAATATTGAAGGCATTTTCATTGCTGGAAGGTGTCACGTGATCCCCATTATGCTGTATGCAGATAGTTTCTTATATTCGTTATTTAGTCAAATGTACTCTTTCTTCTTCAAGAACGACCTGGAATCTCACACTACATACATATCCATCCGCGCATAAATAATCCAATATGTCCATTATGTCCAGGGATGACTGGGCAAGTATTCTGGCTCCTGACGATGCAGTAAGTCTGCAAGCATCAGGGCTGGTCAGCCCTCCTCTGTCTGATGGTACCCGTCGAATCCATAAACGACGCTTGAATCGATCCAGCGACGAAGAAGAACAACATCTCCCACTGACCCCCGCATCAACCGCCTCAAGCTCCGATTCCTTTGTCAGTATCCCGGAGGACCTGATATCTGTTGCCACCCTTGAGCATCTAGGGTACAATTCGGAAACAGCAGCCCGAATTTGGGAGTCTTGGATGAGCTGGCACTCTGGGGAACCCGGGAGAGAGCCCGCTGACAAGTACCATGATGTACCGTTTATCGAGGTCGCTGAAGGTTATGTGGATTACTCCATCGATACCTGCGAAGATAATGATGGCCGATGGTTGCACTGTATGGCCTCTTATGGGGTCAACAGCGAGCTCCAGGAGGCGATTATGGACCCCAAGTTTCGGCACATCCGCCTAACCGAAACTTGTAAGTTCTGGGTTCAAGATACTATTCGGTTACGGTACCGGGGGCTACAGGCGGTACAAGAAACATCTCGTGAGCGTGACATGGCTCGTCAGCGGGAAGCTTCCAGACCTGGACAAAGCAGGTCTATTGGTTCTGGACGACGATCGATCTCGGAATCTTTAAGGATGGTCCCTTGGTTAGCACACGAAACTGCTTTATCTCCCGCTGTAATAAGTGCAGCTGCAAATGCACCGGGGTATACGACTCTATACAAGGGTATTGACCAAGCTCAGATTGATCGCTTATTCGGCAATGATGGTAGCGTTGACTTTGCATGTCTTACCTCCGCGCCACCTACTGATTTCTCGGGACGACATGCAGATATCTACTTCGCTGTTGAGCGAGAAGTGGCCGAATATTATACCTGCTATGCTAAACGCCGCAGCGTGTGTAGCGCGACTGTCATTATTCACATCACCATCCCGAACTCGGTTCTGGAGTCTCTCCCTGCACCCGATATCCAGCGTATTTATTGGCCTAGCGCAGAGTGGAAGTCGCTTATCTTAACTTGTCGACGAAGGGAAAAGGTCCCGTCTAATCTCCGCAAGTATCAACTGGCGAAGCTTGTGATTGGCACCATTTGTGGCAAACCGACCTATGTTTTCGGCAATATGCAATCTCCAGATGAAGTCACGGAGAGGATGGTTCTTAAAACTAAAGATGGACGTAACGCCGTCCAGTTCGTTTTCAAAGGGGACGATGGAGATACTTTGTTGGAGGAGTCCAGCAACGTTGCGGTCTTCCCTCTGACGACACGGGAGTTTGAGAATTGGCGTGACACTGTCTAGTTGCTTGCGCGTGATTCTGATGCTTGTTTCTTTGAGAACTCGATGGTCTTCGTTAATAAATTATCAATTACTGGGTCAACCCCCGGATATTCCTAACTGTTGATGTAGCTAGTAGTGCAAATCTAGTATTTGTAGAATGAGAGGGTAGTCATGTAGCATATCTAATAGAGCCCACATATTTTAGGAGCAGAGTTGCGGTAACTTGACCCTAATTGCCAGGACTCTTATTTTCCAGAGTGCAGTCGATTAGTCTAATACATTTGTAGTCCCTCCTCTCTCTTCCTTCTCCTAGCCTTTCGTAAACAGAGAATCAGAAAAGACAGGCAGTGTGCTTCGAGCGTTTGAACCAAATATCGTGGAGAATAAAGAAATTATCCAATACTACCCAGAAGGAGCGCAATCGAAGAACCAAATTGGCTGCTCTAACGCTTACGAACCGATGGAAGGTGTAAAGATCTTTCCGTAGATTTCAGTGAGAATCTCCATATCAGCTTGTAGGGATGGCGAACCAGACCCCGTATGTTGCAAGAATCGGATCGTCCCCTCAAGAAGGCGTTGGAGTAAATCCCTGTCAACCAACTCTCGTAGGTTCGACATGTAAGTGGCGGATAGAACAAGCATATTTCCAAATTGCCTTTATGCATATGATCAGCAAACAATTGATTCCAACACACCCAATATATTAAAGGCTTACCCATGAGCTGTTCCAAAGATATTGGTAATTATTAAGCGACCTTCGATTCGATCAAACGCCATTGTATTCAAGATAGCCGACTTGATGCATATCTTGCAAGCGTCTAGGAGGGGCTGCGGAAGCCCTTCCTTTGCGCCTGGGGGTGAGTGGAGAGCACGGTATAGCAGAGGTCGATAGATAATGTATTGGGCACCGTAGAACTTGGCACGCATGCGTGCAGTGTTGATTTCTGTCGCAGGTTGCTCGTCGTCCCCCCATTTCATCATATATGGGAGGCTCGCCCGCCAGCGAGCGAGGTTCATGCTTAGTGCTTGTTGCACCGTTAAAGACCACCCTTGCTCTTCATCTGTTGAAAAATGAGTGAATACCAATGAGATCACAATACATTGAAAAGACGTTGTGTAGATGACTACTTACGATCAAATTTGTAGAGCTCTGTATGGACGCGATTCAATATTTTCCGAAGATGAATATGAGCTGAGTAGAACAACATTGTACTTATGAGCGGTGAATCAGGACTGTCAGTAAGGGCGGATTTTTCTGTTGGCAGATCGATTTGGCTCTCAAATCGAGAGAGGCCACTCGGCGGGAGATCTAGCTCAGCTAGTATGTTGCTAAATGAAAATCAGTAGCTACCAAAGCACTACATTTGCCATAATGACGTACCTCTCCAGCTTCAGACAAGTCCAGTAAATGAACCTGCATAAGTCCTTCACGGAGCTATGCAATATCCTGTACCGTTTTGGCCTAATGAGTAATTGGCATACCCAAGAAGCCTGAGAAATCCAGCTATAGCTCTGAAAAGGGTGTGCAAATTGGCCAATATAAATTCCCGCAAGTAAACATGCCTGGGCGTGTTTCAAGTTAGTTCCTCCTTGCGAAGGACCCAAAGTGGAAACTGCAAATCCGTAGAGTGACAGGCCAGCAATCGGGGTGTCAGTGCTAGGAAATGTGAGCGGTGATGGCTGATCACAAAAAGCACCAATAGCCAAGACCAATAGGATAATGGCGTTGTAAATGGTCCCTTCGACGCGCGGTTGTATCTGTGATGAGAAATTTTCGGAGCAGTAATATTGGGTGAAGTCGTCCACCTGCATGCTCAGCTCAGTTTGGTCCAGGAACGGGTGAACTTTGTGGATATTGCTCAAATAGCTCTGGTAGTAGCGTTGAGTTGTGCTGGAATTCGCATTGAACCGGCCAGACAGCTCTATATCTAGTCTTCCGTTTTCTGTAGCAGGAGGGACTAGTACTTGACTGTCGTCAGAAGGATTCCCGACGCCATCCTCATCGTAGGCGGTGATAAGACCACGATTAGCCTCAAGTTCCATCACATACTCCCCGCTTCTCTTCAGTGGATGTATCAGCGATTGGACAGAAGGCCAGCTCAGAAGATTATGCGCTGCAGTGGTGTGCCCAATAGGAATAGCAAGCTCTCCTTCTGAACCATCTTGTATCGGGTCTTCTTGGCCACAGTATGGGGTATTTGTGACCTGGATATCGCTATCAGTCGCGCTAATTGAGGGCTTATTAGGAGACAACCAATCACTGAAAGCTTTCTGTTGTTGCATCAGAGTTCTTTCCAAGGAATCTTGACGGAATAACCAATTTTTCTCCAACTGGTCGACGCGATCCAGTAATCGTTGAGTCGAACGGTCGGGTCTATTGTACAAGGTCAGTACTTCTTTGCAAAGATAGCCTATCGATCAACGGACACAAATTTCTGAATGGCCCCCCTTCTGTAGGCACATTGCAATTGATTATCACTGCAGTGGCTGCAATGTGGTCGTTGTCCGTCGCACTTGACCCTCCTCCTTCGACATGGTTCGCACGCCTAAGCAACATCAGTGGACACTCACTTTTAGGGAAGGGAAATCAAACTTTACCTGTTTGACTCGAGGCAAGCCTGACGGGTGAGTCCGTTGCGTGTCTGGAGATCGCGCTGTGAATCTTGTCGCCGGTGCTAAAGCCAATCTAGGACCGTCTAGGATACCAGTTCGAACATAGTCTTGTGGCAGCGGTGTTATCGAGGAACCAGGCAAATTCCCGAAGCGGGAATCATTCCCAGGACGGGTGACACTGGGTGGGTGTGTAGACTGAGGCAGGCGAGATGGGAAAGGGATAGACCGGCTAGGAGGATGTTCCGAGTGGTTGTTGAAAGTATCACCATGATTGTTTCGTCCAGTATTCATCTTTGTGGGCAACGAAGCAAAAAGTCTGGAATCGGAGATGGTGACCCAAGGGGAGTTGAGCAAGTATGTGTGGCTATGGTCACCCGTCGTTAGAATGACTTTTAGAGCCCTACTCTGGACTAATTATAATGTTTTCACTACGCGTTACCGAGAGCACAGGGAGGACACACTATACCTGTTGCATTAGCGCAATGCCAGCTGAAAATTGCATAAGCACGATTGCCCCGGTACTGCACGTAGATGGGATTACGCTTTAGACCTTTTCTAGCTCCTGCCAGATTCGCTCTGGCCTCCTTAAAAAAGCAAATATATCCAAAAATGACGGACAGGTAATATATACGGGAAGTTAGTACAATTCAGGTGATAAGTATTGACAGCAGTCTCAATACCGCGGTCATTCCACTTCCCTGCTCTATTGCTTCGACGGGGATGCTGTAAAGCGAGAAAATGAAATATTGCATCGGGCATATATTTCAGACTAGCCGTATGATGCCATTATCTAGGATATGAAGCTGGGCTGATCAGGGACAGGAAGCGGCGTGAGCTTCAGACAAGAGCTCGCAAACTACGTTGGAGGCCTCCGTTTGCAGGCCGTATTGCACTACGAGATTCCGTTCAACGGGAGACCTGGCCTGCGGAACCAAGTAGTGTTCGAGCCTCAGGTATTATGACTTGAAATCTTTACTATCTTCCGGTATGATTTCGTCGATTATGCGTAGATGACGACCCTGAGAGTCATACCTGTTGTCGACTGATTATTAGTGAAAGAATTCTAGGATACCTACTATAAGCCCATCTAGACCTTTTGCAGAAATATATCTACTAGAAGGGTTAAGATGTATCGAACGCTGATAGCTCTCTTCTCGTGTAGTGGCTACTAAATTGCCCGTTCAAGTTATGAGTATCCCAACCTTTAGGATCTTCCCATGACGGCTCCCTTGACGCCCTACAGCATCGAAAGAGCCCGAGAATACGAGACCAAATGATACTTGGTATACGTATATTTCGCACAGACTGAGGTATTGAGATAGAAATTTTTATCGAAGGTTCCGCGACGTCGAGAGCGTATAGATATAGAATTGTACCAATGTCCTGTAAACTATAGTATATACAGTACCCCCATTCTCATCATTGGCTTATTATCCTCTAGGGCCAGGCTTATCAGAAAGAATTGCTTCTGTGAAGGGAAATCAAAGCAAAATCCTAGGACAGTATTATTTGATGCATACAGAAGGGTTCAGAAATTATACTACCATCATGACAATCCTTACGGGCTTGTGATCCAGAGATCTTACGTAGATCAGGTTACATGTCTCACGGGTTTAGTTTTAAACAATTGGCCTTGAGGTATCCACTCCCCGTCTTTTTAGACGTTGGCGCTGTCATCCACAATCCAATGCTAACCGTCGGAGGCGCACTGAGGCAAACTTTCTCCTGTGAGGAATGAGTTCAGGCTTACTGGCGATCGCCGATTAAAGTACTCCGTACGGAGTAAGGTGATTCTTGATAGGCCCGCCGTGGGTGTCTGCGCAGCATTGCGGGTTGCCACAGATTTCCGCGGACTTTCGCGGATTTCTACGGGCTTTTAGGGGCTTTAGAGGGTTTTAGCGGCACTTCGAGACGGGGCTACTTGCTATTCACACCGCTTTTTTTTTCGCAGCTTCACATCCCCACAAAATTGCTTAGGATGCGTTACCCTTTCATCGTTTTTCATTTAAGCAAAGACTCACTCTTGAAGCGGGAAGATGGGTTTCAAAATCTCTCACGAGGAGTGTTAGAGACTCTGTTACTCGAATCTCGTCAGGCGGTGACTTTAATAGAAACCGAGCTACAATTACGGGTCCAGCAGCCTGTCCAGCAAAAGGACTTGGACCGTTACTATGAACGTCTTCAGAAAGTGTCCAAGGAGATCTCAATTCGACAACGACTTGAAGACGGAGCAGCTCACTCCGCTCGTGACCTACAGAACGCGCTGGCTAGCGACCTTCATAATCCATCATTAGCCCGCAAGACCAAGGTTTACTATGAGTTCTTGAACGATGTGACTCGTCAATGTGGTTGCGAATCAGCTCTCCTTTGTATTATTGCTCTTGGGAAGCACAGGCTTGAACGTATAAAGAAAGACGACAGGGTGTCTCTTTTGGAGTTCTTAGGTAAATCCAAAGAAAGCTTGGTACCTAGTGAGCTCGTTACGTTCGTGACGGCCTTCGGATTTCCGGAGTCTACTGTTAGGCTATACGATCTCATCAAGTTCAATCCTGTGGCTGCCCATCCTACGGATGAAGCTGGAGCATCGCGAAAACGAACTTGGCACGGTGGTAAGAGCGCTGAAAAATATCACACTTGCCCCCACTGTAGCTAACTCTAGGCAGCGTTTCCTTTTTCTGTTGCAGTGGATGACTACTGTTCGTTCTCGTATACGAGTCGTACTATGATCGAAAATATGCCCGAGCCATTTCGATCGGGAATCGGAACGAGCAACCTCTGGAAAGAAGCGCTACGCAGTAATGGTTTAAATGTAACCAATTGCATGTCTCTGCATATACCAGAAATGGGTGGCGAGGACGCCTACCTTATTGTGAGACTTGGATTTCAATATGGGTATCTCATGGCAAATGTATTTAAATTCGGGAGCCTCTCTTGAGCGAGAAGCGGAAGTTTTTGCTTGATCTTAATTTCATTTTCACCGATTTACTCCTGGCATTTGCTGAATTTCACTTTAGCTTTCAACACGTAGCAACACCATCCCTTTTTCACTTCTCTCGAGACCTTCCCATCATTATACCCTAGTTTGTCGACCACGTTCTTCTCGTCATCAAAAATATTGCATGACCTGCCTTCAAATTCCATGATCATGTCCTCCGGTATATTGAAGTCGAAAATTGAAATCCATTCCTCTTCCCCAGCAAGTGCTTGCGTCCCACGGTCACTCGACATGCTCTTTAATGACCGCTATCCTCAAAGAACCAAAGATTCTGGTTGTCCCGAAAAGGGTACTGTGCGGCAAATGGTTCGAGTGTTTCCGGCTGTTGCGATCATTGAATCGGTCTTGATTGCGAGTTTGTGTCGGTGGAGGAAGAAGAATGGATGGCACCCGTGTACAGCCTGCAGTATAAATATCTGATTGCGTTAGAGTGAAGCCAGGTCGTATGGTGAGCGACATCTTACTTGGGGCAAGTCTGATCGGAATCGGCTGAAGATGAAGCAAGTGCGTGTTTTCGCAACACATCAGAGAGTTGATGCCCGATAGATTTCGCCCAAGTTGTGGGCGGGGCACCCTTCGGTAATCAGGTAACCCCTCCAAGGCTTTCGTGAGAAATGTATAGTCACCTGACCGTTGACGTCAGAAATATTCTGGAACAACAGCGCATCACCCGGGATATCAAAGCGGGATTTCTACTATACAACCAGTACAAATCGACATAGCAACAAACTCGCCGACCCAATGCACTAGCATTCCAAATCTAACGGGAGCTGGTGGGAAGTATCTGAGTGCTTCTAAAACAACACCGCATGTAGACATGGCATGCTGGGAGTTGAATCTCTTTGTACGACGCAAATCTCTCACGAGCCTTATGTTTCAGTTTCTTCATGACTCTGGGGTTCTTGAGCAAAATAAAGGTAATGGCACTGAGCAGCGTTGCGGTAGTCTCAGACCCAGCGTTGAGGAGTGAACGCATTGTTGACAGTTTTCCATCCTTTGCTTCCGCTTTTCGTCAGGATCAATATCATCCAGGCCGTGTCGTGTCTCTGTCTCTTCGCTTCTGGATCCTTCGGCAAAGCGCCGAACCCACCGAACCAACAAGTGTGGGGAGCGGGAAGGTGGGCCTAACCATCTTTAGAGTTTGAGCCTCCCGCTCATCCCCGACAATTCACGTGATCTCCACTTAATCAAATCAAAGCTGATTAGTTACGGAGTATGTACTAACTAATATTTTCGAAGGCGCATAATCATATTCCTTGCCGGGTTAGTTCACCATATCCAGGTCCAAATGTTTTAATTAATGTCACATCACATGTGTAATAACAACAACACTGCCAACCCCCCTCCTTTACCAGAAAAAGTTATCCTCTCATGGCCATCTAGACTCATGTCCTGGCCACTCTCCATTTCATATATAAATCCATTATCTACACCAAGCTTTCCCAACGCAATCCAGACTATTATGCTCGTTTTGTCATCCGGAGCCATACCCCGACTCATGGTTCCAGGGTGTGGCATTTGAGTGATCGATATTGGAAACCATTTTAACAGATGTGATCTCGGGTCAGGAGAAATGTTCCGTTTCAATTTCTTCGCTACTCTTTCGATATTTGACCGGATCTATCGATACTTAGGAATGGGTAACAATAGTATGGTTAGGACTCACTATGAACCACTCCACAACCACGCGTTCAACGTGCCTGTTTGACGGCAAGATTCGGAATGGGCAATATTTTCCTGTCGGATCTAAGCTTTCTGAAACAAGATCTTGTATTGATGATCGAATTGTCCGTTCGGCCTCGTCCGAAATCGTAGAACTGACTGCTTGCTGGATATCTTTCTTCTTTGGCTTTTCCTCGTAGGTTGTGGATTGCGTTTCTATTGCTTGTTGTGTCTCGTGGCTTGGTTCCATCGCTCCTTGAAAGCCAGAGCTTGCCTCTAGAAGGGTATAAAAAGTATTTGATGTGAAGAATGGAAAAGGGGAATATGCGCAGGCGGGGCGAGGCGAGGGGTCTCTAACATCACGTGCTTACGCTTGAAGCGCATTCGATGCATCCTAGGGCCTATAATACGTATCAAGGCTATAAAATAGGCCGAGGATGGATTTCCACGGATAAATTAGAAAAGAAAAGCAATCTCCGTGGTGATCAAGGTTGCCAAGGGCAGAGAAGGTCTGCTATTATCCGAGCTTGAAAACCCATGCTCCTAGTTTTCCTTCTTCCCTTTCAATCAGCAAAGGACATTCGCCGGATATATGGTAGTGCCGTTTCAATTCGACAGGTTTGCTGCCACCTGTCACCTTGCCCGAGATGTAGAATGGAATTATCACCACGTACGGTCGGTCGCCCAACTGTGATCTTTAGTTCAGAAGATTCTTGTTCTTCACTTTGACCACTTGCATCTCGGAGTATAGGTACTGTGCGAGCAATTATGTGTTAGATCAACTTGGATGATATTCCCCGGGGAAATTAGGAGGGGTTATTCGAGCCCAATTAACAACCGCATGCGTATGTAGGCAAGATATCGGGCTCCATGGAACTAGGAATAACCTCCAGAAAATTCGAAGTTCTATACAAGCCCAGGAAATGGCTTGCGATTTGAAGGCCTGACAAACAAGGACATCTAAAAATAGAACGAGTCAGGATGAGTAAGTTTTGTATGTTTTGCTTGAAAATATATCATCCATCGCTTGTTCATTGGAAATGACTAGATCACTTAGATGCTATATCACCTAGGCTACCATGGACTTCTAACAACTCCTAGCAAAGTCTATCACCTGACCATTATCCGACCATACGATACCTATATCTAAACCGTTGAGTAAAAATCATGACTTGACGTTGGATTCCATGATTTTCGTCATGTCCGGCGAGATGAGTGGATCAGTTCCGATCAGTGGCGAACGACGGACTCCCCATTTCTGATGATGATTTAAGCATCAATTATGAAAATGGAAAATATTTTAACTAATAATGGGTCTAGCAATGACGAATCATTCGGTGCTGATTTTAGGGCTGGGGTGGCAGAGTTCGGAGAAATTCCCTAAGCATCGCATTGCCTGACATTCCCAACGGTTCAACACTTTCTTGCTGGGAGAAACGCAACTGACGATTGACCCATTGGCATGAGATAGTTAGACGGTTTTTTATGTTAAATAATGTCTCTGGATCCAGGGTCCGCAAATTTGAAATATTTTCATCTCGCAGCCATCACTTCCATCCCCACAATTTCATAAACACTTGAAAGAGACCTACAGGTCTCGTCTCCACTACTACAATGGCGAAAACCGAGCCAAGTGGTGGAAAGCAGCATATCAGCGAGAAGCCTGTCACACTCGGTAACTGGTACCAGCATGTCAACTGGGTCAACACAACCCTCATCCTGATCGTACCCGTCGGTGGCCTCATCGCTGCATGCTACACACCGCTGAGGGCAGCCACTGCTGCTTGGGCAATTCTCTACTACTTCTGGACCGGACTGGGCATCACTGCCGGCTACCATCGTCTGTGGGCGCACCGATCCTACGAAGCGTAAGCCTGCTACTGCCTCACCCTAGTTGCTTCGGATGAAGTATTGACTAACATCTGATATCTCCAGTGTCCTTCCAGTCAGAATATTCCTCGCATGTGTCGGCGGTGGCGCCGTCCAAGGCTCGATCCGGTGGTGGAGCAGTAAACACAGGGCCCACCACCGATGGACCGACACAGTCAAGGACCCATACAGTGTCATGAAGGGCCTCTGGTATTCGCATTTTATGTGGATGGTTCTGAACCAAAACCCAAAGAACAAAGGCAGGACCGATATCTCCGACTTGAACGAGGATCCCGTCGTCGTCTGGCAGCACAAGCATTATGGATCGGTCATCTTGGTTTTCGGGATGTTGTTCCCTATGCTCGTTGCTGGCCTGGGATGGGGTGATTGGAAGGGTGGTCTTGTATATGCTGGCATTCTTCGGTTCTCGTTTGTGCAGCAAGCCACCTTCTGCGTCAATTCTCTCGCCCATTGGTTGGGTGAGCAGGTTAGTCATTGTCCATATCCTGTTCTTGTCATATTTCCGTTCACTCTGACACGCGTTAGCCATTCGATGACAGGAACTCCCCTCGCGATCACGTCGTTACCGCGCTGATCACTCTCGGCGAAGGTTACCACAACTTCCACCACGAGGTAAGAAAATTCTTCCCTTATATTTACTTTGCATCCACTAAACTCTGACCAGTTCCCCTCCGACTACCGCAATGCCATCCAATGGTGGCAGTACGATCCTACCAAGTGGTCAATCTGGACGTGGAAGCAGCTCGGTCTGGCAACAAACCTCAAGGAGTTCCGAGCCAACGAAATCGAGAAGGGCCGTGTGCAACAACTACAGAAGAAACTCGACCAGAAGCGCGCCAAGCTTGATTGGGGTGTTCCTCTGGATCAGCTGCCTGTTATCGACTGGGACGATTTCATTGCTGAAGCTCAGAGTGGCAAAGCTCTAGTCGCCATTGCCGGTGTTGTTCACGACGTGACCGACTTTATCAAGGAACACCCTGGTGGTAAAACCCTCATTTCATCCGCCATTGGGAAGGATGCTACTGCCATTTTCAACGGCGGTGTCTACACTCACTCCAATGCCGCCCACAATTTGCTTTCTTCCATGCGGGTTGGGGTGATTCGCGGTGGTGGTGAGGTTGAGATTTGGCGTCACCAAAACAACCAAAAGGGTGTTTATGTTTAATCTTTGGGAAGTGATTAGAGATCGGTTTGCCAATTTGTCAAGTTTCAAGTTTCAAGTTTCACGAGAATATGAACATCCGCTTCTACGGCCCCGGCAACTCCGGGGCCGACACCAATTCATAACTTTCCTATTACGAAGTAGATAGAATTGCTTCAACTTGCCTGCTGTATTCAAAGTCCATAATTAATCAATAATACTCTACTATTGTATGCTCCATGGTATTTCTGTGGTGCTGAACTAGTACATTTTCTATTTGAAAACCACAAAAAAGTACAAGAATTAGACGAAGAAGTAGTATAAGACCAGATAAAAAAAAACCATAAAAGACATAAAAAAAGCCGTATATTTAATCTAAGATCAATGGTTGGTTGTGCTATTGCGAATGCATACCACCTATTCTTGGTTGATCGGATCACCTTATAAAGTCACCTGATCTACCACTATGAAGCCATTCAGAGATGTTGAATACCCTGCCATGTTTGTCCTGTTTGATAGGCTTCAGCTCTCTGTTTGTTT